CCTTGCACAAATCATGGGTTTGCTGCTTTTGCTGCTTTTACTGCTTTAGACTACACAAGGCCATGGGGAACAGTAATGAAGAGCTAAGAGTGAGCGTGATGACTGGATATGGATTCTTTGCCTCCTGTAAAGCACAAGTACTCAGTCCAGCACTGCTGCAGCAATAACATCATGGTTGAAATACTAAATCATGATCAGATGTCTTCCTAAGACACTTGCTTCATGAACCCGGGGTGCTGGACTTGGTGTGCAGGTCTGTGGTTCAGACATCCCTTGATGGATGCCTTGAGCCTCGTCTGGACTGGACTTGGTTTGCAAGTCTAACCCATGCATCTGCTGATGGATGGATTGAGGCTTATCATCAGTACTATATAAAAGTAAGCTTGGATAATCAGGTATAGCCCATTTTAGCCTGGAAATCTCATGTTTAATGCCCAGAATGATGGGTTTGTAGTTTACCGTTGAGGCCATTGGGTGTTCCTCTGCCATTATGGTAAGAATGCATCAGTGCAAAGAAGAGAACTGCTTTATGAAAGAAGCAAGCAGCAGCCATGCTCCAAAGGTTTCTTACCCTGTTCATCAGGAATGTGTCTGCAGTTTCCTAAAGCAGCTAGAATTGGTAGCACACGTCTGCTGTGTCCTTGGTTACTGCTAGGCAGGGTGATGGGGTTTGATCATAGGTTGTCTTGCTGCAGTGCGATATGACCTGAGGGATGGAGAGGTTTTTCTTGCCTTTCAACTTGACTGTCCCAGTTAGCTCAGCAAATTAAAGCAGGGTTTCATTCTCTAGGAAAGAATATCGTGTGCTGAGGAGCGTTCCCTGCTTTGTGTGAGTTTTGTTGTAGAACCTTAATTCCTCCCAATTCACAATTCTAACATCAGAGGGGAACTAAAGCAATAAATCAGTTGTGGTGATTCAGTGATCCATCAGGAGGAGCTCACTGAGCAGGGCTTGGCCTTTCTGCAGGCTTGGACAGATAGCTTCTGAAAGCAAAGGCAGCTCTGGCTTTGTCAGAGCAGACATTGTTCTCTGTGCCCAGGTTATGGAATTGCACTCTGCAGAGCTGCATAAAATACAAGCACACGTCCCTTGGAAGAGCAGATCCACTGGGCACAGTGTCAGATCTCTGGAGTTTGGAATGGTGGTGTGGGATTAGCTGGAAGAAGGGAGATGTGGATGTAAATCAGGGAATTTGGACCTATGTATGTTCAGAAGTGAATGGGACTGATTCTCATTTACTGTTTTGCCTGGTTTTTACTCTGGTAGAGTGATTCCTTAACCCCTGAGTCATTTTACACCCTTTTAAATCTCTTTTACTCTGCCTGAGGGATAGAAGGGTGTAGAGGAAGCACAGATCTGGGAGGTTCCAGCATTTTCTTCTATGTTTCGACATGCTCCATCGCACCTCTTTGGTCACTTCGTTAGTGACACCTTGTCCCCTTCCACCTGTAGCACAAGGGACAGGGGCACAGTGAGGGATGTGCTTGAGGTACTAACTCCCCACATCACCTTGCTCTGCTCCCAGAGCTCTGTGTGCCTCAGCTTGTGTCAATAAGGGAGGTGTAGGGACCACTGTTGAATCCATCATCCTGCTGTGTCCATATGTAGTCTTTACTTATATTCTCCTTCCTATAGCTGCTGTACGCATGCACCGGATTCATGCTGTGCCAGGACTTGGGAGGAGGAAGACTCCTCTTTGGTTTATATATACATGTATGTGCACGTATACACATGTATGTGCACCCCTGGCTGTTACAGGCAGCCTGTGAGAGCAACCAAAGGCTGTCAAAACCGAGCTGGCAGCACGGTTCATTTTTCACAATAAGAAACCTTACATTAAAAATAGAACAATCTCTGCTGCTAAACTCTGCAGCACTGAAGTTCAGAGCAAATCGTTTCACTGCGCTCTCTGATGGAGATGCCATTACCATCCTCTATTATAGAAAGGAGAAAGAAGCAACAGACAAAAAGCCTGGGCTGTTGTAGTCTGGTTTAGCATGCAGTCAACATTGACAGAACAAGTGACTGCAAGTATTCTCACCAAGCCCAAAGCCAAGGTCTGGGAAACATTGCAGAGGGAATGTATTACACGTGAGTACCGTACTTTAGTCTGGAATAGTTCATACATGCCTTATTCATAACAGCCAAAACCATGCATATAATTACATGTAGGTAAATACCCTGCCAGCTGCAGCTGAGAAGCAGTATAGGAGCTCACTGGAACCTGGCCTTGTGTGTCAGATGGGGCCTGCACTTCATCTCCTGCTGCAAAGAAAAGGCACATTAGAAGCTTCTGGATCTTCAGGATTCATGTAGTGACCGCTTCATTCAGAGCCTGCCCAGATGGTTTCAGAGTTTTCCATCCACAAGCAAACAACAGGCACTATTTCCCCTTCTGCAGAGGTAGGGAGGGGTGACTGCAGGGTCCCATGTGCAGCCACTCTCAGAGCTGGAGCTGAAAGCCATGGTTCCCAATGAGCAGCCCAGCAAATCTCCCCAAGAAGGGCAATGAGCTGGTGGCTCTGAATTAACTTGCACCACCAACCTTCTGGTGGAGGTAGCCCATGGAATCATTGACTCACAGAATCCCAGGCTGGAAGGGACCTCAAAGATCATCAGGTCCGACCTTTCTAGGCAAGGCATGACCTAGACTGGATGTTCCAGCCCCCTGTCCAGTGAATCTTAACAGTGTTCAGTGTTGGGCAGCCCACCACTTCCCTGGGCAGATCATTCCCGTGACTGGTTCTCCTCAGCATTGGCTCTTCTCCAAACCACAAGCGCAGCACTGTGAATCTGATGAGCTGTGGAGATGCACTGATTGGTCTAGAGCAGTTTTAGGTTTTCATCATCTGGCTGAAGGGAACAGATAACATCAAGCAGTTGCTGCGCTCCTTCACTTGCAGCTCTGTCGAGCTCAAGCTGTTGTGTTTCATAGTCACTTGTTTCCTTCCGACCCATTTCTCCTTTCCGTGGGCATTCCTGGAGGTTCATCAGTGTAATGAGCAAGTGCATTTGTGTCTCTCCTTTCAAAGGCTATGACCTGAAGTTCTCCCACTCCAGCGATGGGGAGCAAAGAGAGGAAGAGTGAAAGAAAGGCAAAGCAACAAGCTGTGGATTACTTAAGGTGCTACAACCACTTCCAAGGCCCTTCTGTTTTCAGAGCTTTTTATGTTCTGTCCCTTCTGTTGGTGCTCCGTGGTTCTCACAGCACAGATGCATGGAAATCACAGGCACTGCCCTGTGCACAAAGGCATCGAAGCTTACATCTTGATGGGCAGAGTCACCATCTGGAGGAGCTTCTCCTTCTCCAGTGATAGGAAGCATGGTGCTATGGGATCCTGCAGTCAGTGCATATAAACATTTCAGACAGCAGTTTATTATTTGCATTGATGGTGTCTCTATACATTTAATGGCATTTTGGAGAGAGGCACAATAGAATTACTCACCAGTTTATTACATGTAACGGGATGTGGTGCTCTTTCACCTGGCCTGGGGATCAAGTCCTACCTTGAAAGCAAACTTTGGTTTTTATCCCACTCCTCCAGCGGGTGCATGTCCATGTCCTAACAGTACCACAGGGTCTGGCAGAGCATTGTTGAGCATGGATTCAAATGAATCCATGTGTCATCGGTCCAAAAGGAGGTTCATTGGCAGAGCTGGGGGGAGCCCCTGCCAAACACCTGGTCATGGCATTGCAAGTCTTCCCTTTTCTTCTGAGACGTGAATCACTCTCCCTGGATGTGGGTACACTGGAATAATTGCCACTGTTGTGAACATTCCTGTGTTCTCTCAGACTCGACGCTTGGCCACCAGATGTACTTCCTTGCTTTATGAACTAGTGATGAGCTCGGAACGTTCCCTTGTCCTTAAAAGCCCTTTTAAAGCCCCGGTTGGTATCATGTTGTTTTCTTTGGCTAGAAGGGGTTTGATTGCTTTTACGGGTAGTCACATTAAGTTCCAGAAATGGAGTGGATTAAAAAGGACTCCTTGGGAATACCCAGAGTCTTAAAGAAGAATACAGATTTCTTGGCAAAACCAAGCAAACGACACCACCGCAGACCACGGAGGTCCAAGCGTGGAGCTTTGGTGGCCTCCTCCCCTGCTTGCTGCATCTCCTGCTGTTGCATCCACAGGTGCATCCATGGAATTAATAGAATCCCAGGCAGGTTTGGGTTGGAAGCGACCTTAAAGCTCATCTAGTTCCAATCCTCTGTATGCATTTACACATTTATAGCTAGTCCAGGTTGCTCCAAGCCTCGTCTTGAGCACTGCCAGGGATGGGGCAGCAGCTCTAACAGAGGTGGTTTGCATTACTTCACATCTTTTCACATGTCTTTTGTGTGTGTGTGTGCAGAGAATCAGCTTCTGGCACCTTTGGGAAGCCTCAGCCATGTTGAACTTTGGGAATTCCAAGCTGGAAGTCTGTGTGTTTAACAAATGTCAGTAGGAATCACCATTAGCAAAGGAAGTTATTGTCTCTTTTATTATGCTTTGCCTTAACCAGGGCTCTGTGTAGCTCAGTTAATTTGCTTTGGTTGTCAGCCTGGCAGCTCATGCCAGAAGCATCTTTAGTATTAGAAAAGCTGGAGAATGTGCTTAGAAGGAGTTGCACAGAGAAGTAAAATTGCTTCACTCTGCAGGACTTGTCAGAGGGTAGAGAATGTGGTTGTCATGTAAAGAATGCGTGTGTTCAAAGTGTGGCTATGTTCAATATGTCATTTTCTAATGACCTCGGGATCGGTGGTGTGCGTTCCGGGTATCATCCTCCAGATCTCCTCTGCAAAATGGCAAAGCACTACATGAAGTTGTACCTCTGCTCTTGCAGTTGGGGGTTTTTGAGGTATCACTGATCACCAGTCATACAGGATGCAGTCAGTTGGTGTTGCAAATTAGCCTAGCTCTGTTTCCTAAAGCTGAAGGTTTAGCAGGAGAATGTTACCACAAATTGTTTTGTTGCTGTAACAAGCAAATCCTAATATAGTTTTTCTTCTGATTTCAGGAGTGGCCACACATTACTTGCCTTCTGGTTTTCCCGTCAAGAAGGAAAACTGAATCGACAGCAGACTATTGAACTGGGACATCACATTCTCAAAGCACATATTTTTAAGGTAAGAAAAATGAACATGAAGACTTATGCTAACCTCATCCCCACTGCGTGTAACCTGCCGGCTCTGGCAGTGTTCAGGCTCTTCCTGTTTTCGGGTTGCTGTAAGAAGTGTGATTGCTTCAGGCTGCTGAAACATGTAGAAAGGAGCTTTAGAAAATTGGGATAGAAGAAATCCATGAAATTGAGCCATCCTTCAGACTGTGAATTCAACAGATAGCTTCCTTACCTCAGACTGCTCTTGTACCCTGAGAGGTTTCTTCCCATGTAATCTGTAACATTTAGGTTGTCAAGAGAAAATGTGATTGTTATTATCCGATGGTTGGTCCATTTTACTCTTCATGCAGACATTTAGGACCTGGAGAACTGAAAGGCAAGCTTCAGTGTGAGCAGCAGTGTGACCCATAAACTAAGTACCATTCTTGTGCCAGTTGGCCCATACACCAGAAGGTGGAAATCATAGAATCACAGAATCCCAGACTGGTTTGGGTTGGAATGGACCTTAAAGCTCATCCAGTTCCAACCCCTGCCATGAGCAGGGACACCTTCCCCTAGAGCAGCTTGCTCCAAGCCCCTGTGTTCAACCTGGCCTTGAGCACTGCCAGGGATGGGGCAGCCACAGCTCAGAAATGAGGCTGTATTTTAATCTGGTCCATACATGATTTTACAGACTGAAAAACCTTATATCCCTAGAGCAGATAGTTTCTGCCTTGCATCAGTCGTGGTGGGGTTATTTATTGAGCTCCCTATGCCTAATTCACCAGCAGTGTAGTAGCAAAGTTTGGGAAGGCCGTGGTTGGAGCCAAGGGGGAGGAACCCCAGATCAGCACATTACCCCTCAGTGTATAATACTGAAACTTGGAGTTCGTTCTCAAGGCCACATTCAGCAGCGAGTTTCCTCTTCAGCTGCCATTTATGTTCTAAATGTGGTTCCAAATCTTCACACTTCCATAGCAGAAACACGTACTAGGGTTTCAGGCTCTATAAACAAATGCCACATTCCATTAAGTGGACAAGCTGCCCGTCGATTCCAGATTTAATTGAGCAATATTTACAATAGGAGAAAATGCCAATTAGCATATGAAAAATATCAGCAGAGCCTTCTGTTTCACATCATCACTCGGCACAGTCCTTGGGTGCAGCAGGACTCATGTCTCGGTGACAGATAAGCATAACAGCACGTTGTTTAGGAGTACTATAAAGTTTCCGCAGGGTTTGGATTAGCTGCATTAAAACCACTGTAAAACTCTTAGCTTTTCCTTGAAGAGGTTTCTTTTTATTCCTGTTTTGAACAAGTGTTTGCTGAGTGAAACAAAAGCTGTGTTAGGTGCTGAAGGAGCCATCAAGCTCATCACTGTAGCCCACGTTTAAGATCTCAAGAAAGCATTTCCAAGAGCATGGGCACAGATCCCCATTCCTGGTGTTCCTGACTGTATTTGTTTCTGAACAAACATGGTTTATTCCATTCAAGCGTTTCACTCTGCCTGATCTTTTGCTGCAGCCATTACCAGTATGGCCTGGGGTTTCTGCCAAGTAGGGAGCGTGTCGGGTCATCAATTCAGTGTGCTTCTCCTGAAGTTCTCATGTTACAATAGCAGCTTTCTGCAGACACAAAGATCTTGATTTTGAAGGTATTTATGGAGGCCTGATGCCATTGGAATTCCATTTTATGTACCCATCATGAAGGAGAGGATTTGAACAGAGCTAAAGCATTTTGGCCAGCCAGAGAGTACTGAGAGCTGGGTTTAGAGACAGACTGTGATTAGTGCAGAAAACCTGTTTGTCCTTCCCCAGTCCCTATTAGTTCACATCCAGGGATACCTTGTGCAAGGTAATGATGGGACACTTGGAATTCCCAGGGGTAAAAAGGCAGTGATGCTCCGACACAAGGTGATGACCCAACACACGGGTGGTAAGAAGCTTTCACACTCCCCTCTTCCCTTCATGGCTGAGATCTCCTGGGTTTCTGTTTTAGACACAAACATCCTCAAACAGTTTGGGGACCAAAACCCCCAAAAGTACAAATGTTTTAGTCTTTAAAAGCAATTGCCAGTCTTAACAGGAGCATATGGAAACCCAGCTTGGAAAGCCTGGCATGGAGTGAAGGGGCATGATGAGAAATGTGCAGTAATGATACAAGAAGACCCACACTCCAGGCTGATGTCTGTTTTGCCAGTCAACCAACGGGAAGTCTTTGATTTCATCTTAGTTAGTTAAAATGTCAGTAATCAAGAAGTAGGTGTCCCTCATCCCCCACTGCTGGTATTTCAGTTTGATGTTACGTCCAGCTGGGATCTGCTTTTCCTGAAGGATTCAAAAGGGAACTAAGAAAGCAATATATGATCTGTAAATCAGAAATAGAATCACAGAATGGTTTGGGTTGGAAGGGTCCTTAAGATCACCCAGTTCCAACACCATGCCATGGGCAGAGACACCCTCCACCAGACCAGGCTGCTCAATTAGCACAGATTTGTTTCGGTATCTGAATGAGAATGGTATTGGGTGTATTTATTCTTGAAAGGCTAAATGTCACCTTTTATGTCTTGCACTGCTATCTGTGGGCATGTATTCTAATCCAGTGGTTAAGATTTTTATAGCTTATATGATTATTCACAGATGGCTATTCTGAGAATACATACTATTTCCCTTGATCTTGATGGTGACTCAAACAGCTTATTTCTGGGTTTGGTACTATTATAGCTATTTTTAAGTTATTTTAACCGTTGATTATCAAATTGGGTTTCCATTTGCCCAATTGTACTGAGTTCACTGAAATTTAATAGTGGCCTCCAGTGTCCTGCATTGTGTCATTTCCAAAGCAGCGTTTAATGGTGGCTAAAATTCCTGAGCTCTTTTTTCTGCCTCTCTCCACAAGCAGATATTTTTCTCTCTTTAGCTGCCTGAATTTTGAAGGGAACAAGCACAGGGAGCTGTTATTTGTAAGAGCTTCTCTGATCTGTTGCTTCTTGCCATGGTAAAACCGTTTCAAGTGACAAGTCTGTTGATGGCTGCTGTGATGCTTCAGAATATCTTTCACACATAGGTATCAGAGGTCTGCAGCTGAGTCCAGCAGTGGGCTTACATGATGATTCCTGCACATCTTCCTTTAGAGGAGACAAAGCCCACCTTCTGCTGCTGGTTTGCCCTCCAACACCCCACACCATCCGTGTCAGTCTGTCATACAAAAGTGAGATGGGATCCTGCTGCTTTGCACAGCTAGAAATGACCACATGGCTTTGCAGGGAAGATAGAAATCAGGGTTTGCATATCAAAACAGGATTAAAAATGTCTGTAGGGTTTCCATGGAAACAACAGGCTTTAATGGTAAATCAATGACAGAGCAGCAGCACAGAGGATGTACCCACATCACACCATGTACCCACATCATCCAGCCCGTTTGCTGGAGTTGCAAACCCCATTCCTCACCTCTTCCATCCAGCTGTTTGCTCCCATCTGTTGGCTCCAGAGCAATTGCTGCTCCTTCAAGAGGAGGGAGGGAACCCTTCTATACATTACATATAGTGTGATCATGGATGTCAGCCAGCCTGGTGTGAGGTAGGGGAATACCATTCTAGGCTGAGCATGAGACTTCCGTAGTTAATCTTACTGGGAGCAGATATGGTCATCTTGTGTAACAGTTTGGGTAATAACTTTGTGAATCAGTTCTGCCAAAATAATGTGTTCTTTACTAAAAGAAAATAGTGAAAGGAAGCCTGCTCTGCTCCTTAGCATGAGACTGAGTGGGTTTGGATTGCTCACAGTTTAATGCTGCTTTTCCTAGAGGGAGGAAATGGCTACCATACCTTTGCAAGTTATTTCCTATAGCTGTTAGTGTCTTGAAACTCTCTGAAGTCCAGAGACCCAAAAGGATCTACCCTGTGTAACTGAGCATGGTTGTAAGCTTGGATCTAAGTCATCTTTTCTCTTTTAGGGGCTGAGTAAAAAAGTGGGGGTATCTTCCTCCATCCTGCAAGGGCTTTGGATCTCCTACAGTACGGAAGGTCTTTCCATGGCTTTGGCATCTCTGAGGAATCTCTACACCCCAAACATAAAGGTACTGGAGGAGGAGGAGGAGGAGGAGAGCTGGCGTGGTTCAGAATTCACACAAGAAGCTCCCAGTTTACTGTAGCTGCCTGCCTATGGCAGTGCTCCTATCCAGGCAGTGCTGGGCATTCCCATGAGAGAGAGAGCCCATCAGTTCAGTTGGGATTGTGCTGCTGTCTGGGATGAGCCCTCAACTCTTCTACTTTAACCAGGGGTCTCCTTCTGATTGCAGTGAGCGAACAGGGAAGTCGTGCCTGTGCAGAATGGTTCACTTGAGGTTTTCCTCCCCAGAGCTGTGGGATGTGAGAACTGGCTTTGGAATTTGACAGCCCCATAAAGGGCTGTCACAGGCACCGACTCGGAGGCGACACCAAACTCAACAGCACGTGCTCCTGTGCTAGCTCAGACACTTCATGCCCATTTGCATTGTGAGGGTGAATGTGTTTGCTTAAGTGACTTCCTCTCTATAGCAGAAGGGATCTCAGACAGTGACACAGGTTTCCTGGAAGGAAGTTCACCCCAGCTCCTTCCCATACATGCAAGGTGAGCCTGGGGTCTGTCCCCATGTCCCTTCCTTGCCACTCTCTCCAGCAGCAGATAGAGCCTGTTCTAGTGCGACCAAGTGCAGAGGGAGCTGTGCAAGCCTGGCAGTGCAGTAGGACAAGCAAAGCCATCCCGAGAGAGGATCCCACGGGAAGGATGGTCCATTGAGTTATTTAGGGTCCATCCTCCTGTGAAAGATGCTGTGTCCCCAGCTGCAGCGTGGCTGTAGTGACTTTGTTCTGCACCCTTCAAGCCACTTAACCAGCCCTCAGGGGAAGGATTAAACTCTTCCTTCTGCCTAAAATGGGACCGTTTATTTGGCAAGTGTTTCTACTCAGCATTTTGAGTCCTTTGCTGTTTGCTTGGAGATACACCCAAGGCCCTGCTTTACATTCTGTCTTTGCCCTGACAATAAGTCAGCGTCTCTCCATAGAGCCCACCTAACAGGAGCTCTTCTTTCCCTCTGCAGGTCAGTCGGCTGCTGATTCTGGGAGGTGCAAACGTGAATTACCGCACTGAGGTTCTCAACAACGCCCCTATTCTTTGTGTCCAATCTCACCTGGGCTACACTGAGATGGTGGCTTTGCTCTTGGAGTTTGGGGCCAACGTAGACGCTGCTTCGGAAAGCGGCCTCACTCCTCTTGGCTACGCGGCTGCTGCTGGATTCCTGAGCATCGTTGTGCTGCTCTGCAAGAAACGGGCTAAGGTGAAGTGACCACGTTCCTCTAAAAGCTGATTTCAACTGGTCCGTGTTGGTGCAAGGCAGGGCACAAGCTGCAGGCAGGATGCGGGATGCTTGCTATAAAGAATATCCTCCAGGATTCCGCTTTGCTTGAGGTCCTTGGACCGCAGAAGGTTAAAATGCCAACGTTGCTCTTGTGGCACGGGGCGTTCTTGAGATGCCTCCTTGAGACACATTTTCCAAACACTCCTCTTAGACTGATCCCAGAAAAACACCCTTTGTTTAGCTTTGTGGTGAGTGTTTGGAGTTTTAATTGTATAGCATGAGTCAAGTTTCAGTATGTTGTTGAAGAAGACAATTGCACTGATTTTTGAAGTGGAGCCTCCTGGAAGCAATTTGTGGTTGCTCTATATGTTTAGCTGCAGTTCAGAAAGCAAAACATGGGTTTGTATGGTTCTGCTATGAAACTTGGGATGGCTTAAGGGCCACAGTTAAATCTTGCCATGTTGTCTGTCATAATGCAAGGACAATATGAAGGAAAAAAGGAATTCTGCTTTTGTTGGGGTGTTTTGAGATGGGTGGCACTCCTTGGCAAGAAGCAGCATTCCATCTCTGAGAAGAGGAAGATTTAGGCTACACAATGAAATGTGAAAGTGCTGCCACTTTAGCTTTCCTTGGGTATCCCTAATTATATTGAGGAGATAGCCCCAAACCAGCTGGGTTCGGTTTGGAGGCTGAGATGTTTGATTCTTGCATAGAAAACTGCAACACTGACTGCTGCCTGGGTTGGCAAATGAGAAATGTTAATATATTAGTTATAATATCACTATAAAATCATTAGATTATCTTGATATAATCATTATTACTCATATTTATAATAGGAGTAATGAGAAATAATACGGTGCAGAGCACTGCAATAGTTTGCTGGCAGGAGGGCAGTCCCTGATCTGCCTGTCCTATTTCTCCAAGGTACCAGTATTGAGGTAGGACAAAGAAATCCCAGCTGATGTATTCAGGCATTGAGTGAAAAGCATGCCCTGTCCTGAAAAGCCAACCAGGGAAGTTCCAGTAGGGCTGCCAAGCACCAGCTCTGTTTCCAATTGACTTCTGCCTGCCCTGGGTTCACGTCAGTGCATTCAGCTGCAGGCTGAGGCACTTCTGTGTCTCTGCAAAGCAATGGTATCTGGAAAACAAGCTGGTTTTCCTTGTGTGGATTTGGATGAAGGCGATGAGAGCGGTGTGTGTGATTTCAGTCCCTGGGAAACACGACTTCAGGACACCAAGGGGAAAAATGCTTTTGCAGCCGTTGAGTCTGCAGGCAACTGATGAAAGCTAAGGATTTAATGGTAACTTACCCAGAGCAAACATTTGTGGCTAAGAGGATGCCTAAGCCTGGGGCAGAGTTGTTCGGGGATGGTGGTTTTCTGGTCGTGGAAGGGATGATTGACCAGAAAAATGCACATATTGCACATGTGGCAGTATTTTGAATCCAGGATGGAAACTGAGGAAGTGAAGGCATTTTGCCTGTGATTTGGTTTAACTGTGTTTTGTCATCTCTTTTCAAGGTGGATCATTTGGACAAGAACGGTCAATGCGCTCTGGTTCACGCTGCTCTCAGAGGACACTTGGAGGTGGTGAAGTTCTTGATCCAGTGTGACTGGACCATGGCTGGGCAGCAGCAGGGAGTGTTTAAGAAGAGCCACGCCATCCAGCAGGCCCTGATCGCTGCAGCCAGCATGGGTTACACCGAGGTAAGACCTACCAGCACAGCACTGCCTCTGTGGGGTGGGAAACCAAGGTGTGGCTATGTTTGCTAGCCAGAACATTGACCAAAGAGGGTCTTGGAGGTGGATCAATATCTCTGTCCTGCTCTCCCTCCCCTTCCCTTCGCAGGCAGCAGGGTTCACAGATCCTTGGCAATCCCTTTGATCCAGGCAAGTGTCCAAGAGAGGAAGCATAACAAGCCTTTAAGTTGTTAGAATAAACCTTTAAGCAGAGCTGGATGCTCTGCAGCATGCTGCATGCAGCATGCAGCTAACGCTGCTCCTCTGGCGCTGTTAGGGGAGTGTGAGACCATGTAGCTTTGGACTGTATGTCAGGGAGGAGGGAGAAGAGCCAGAGAGCTTCCTCCTGTCACGTTGATACAGATTTGGGATGTAGGAAACGATGTATGGAATTGCTGAGGTTGGAAAAGAGCTTTAAGATCAGAGTCCAAATATTAACTGCCAAGTAAACCACTGCCACCGGTCCCTCAGCAGAGCCCTGGCCCGCAGCAGCCCCTTCTCCTTCTCCATCACTTGAGGAGGGTTTTCTCTTTATCCAGATACCTCAGTCTGGCTTCACCTTCTCCCAGAGGCACATCCATTGCATGTGTCAGGGCACTGCAGCAGGACAGACAGAGTTCTAAGGACCTGACACTGCACAGGCTCACCATGGGCGGTCATGTCAAAACCCTTGGATGGGTGTGGGGTTTTCCTTTATCAGATTCAGTGACTGATCTCTGGAAGAATACTTGCTTGAGCTCAGGGTGCCAGGCAAAGCCTGTTCCTTTTCCTCTGTATATGCAGAGCAGCTCGTGTTAAGATGTCAGCAGTTTATATATAACACATTTGTGAGCTGACATCTCGCTTGGTTTCAGATTGTCTCCTACCTGCTCGATCTTCCAGAAAAAGATGAAGAGGAGGTGGAGCGAGCTCAGATCAACAGCTTTGACAGCCTGTGGGGAGAGACAGGTGATTTCTGTAGCTGCTTCTTGCATGTCAGTGTTTGTATTTATGGGCTCCCCATCACCTGATGCTTCCTGATCCCTGGCATTGTTTGGATGAAGGGAGAAGGATCAGTTCCTCTGCTTTGTTTTCAGGTGCCAGGGTGCAGCTTGCACTCAGCTGTTAAATTACCATTCATTTTCCTAAAGCTTGGCATTATTTAGCGCTTGGTAATGACACAAATGTTCTTTTGTTCAATACTGTTATGTTTATATGGATGGGTATAAACCAGACACCCTGCTTTCCTAACTTCAAATGAAAGCAGTCATCCACCCCTTCCACTCCCTAGAGACGATCCTCACCATCATCTGCATTTCTTGAAATACTCAAATATGGAGTTGTTAGATTTAACTCCAGTGACCTCATAAATATTATCCACAATCTTTTGTACTCACCTCCCTAATCTCCTTGTATCCCTGGTAATGTTCTTGTCAAGTTAATACACCAAGGTAATGGGTACCCTCTCTGGGTGACAGAGCACTGATTTTGATTCTGACGGCTTTGCTCCCTAATGACATGATCCAGGGGTACAGACTGTGGCTGGCTTGGTCTTAGGTCAGGTTGTTTCTGGGTAGAAGGGGGCAAGGGGAAGTGGGATTATCTTTTGAGCTGGTTTGTACCCTGTACCTTTCAAAATGCAGCCTTATTGGAGCCTGGTAATCATATGAATCCTAGAATGTTTTGGGTTGGAAAGGACTTAAAAGCTCACCCAGCTCCAACCCCTGCCACGGACAGGTGCACCTTCCCCTAGAGCAGCTTGCTCCAAGCCCCTGTGTCCAACCTGGCCTTGAACACTGCCAGGGATGGGGCAGCCACAGCTTCTCTGGGCACCCTGTGCCAGCGCCTCAGCACCCTCACAGGGAAGAGCTTCTGCCTAAGAGCTCATCTCAGTCTCCCCTCGGGCAGGTTAAAGCCATTCCCCTTGGCCTGTCCCTACAGGCCCTTGTCCAAAGCCCCTCTCCAGCTTCCTTGTCACTCCTTTAGGCACTGGAAGGCTGAATGAATGGAATCTATCAGATAATATTGCCCCTGAGCTTTAAAGGACAAAGATAGAGGTGTGGGTTGTCTGGCGGGTGCCTGAGCTGCTCTGGGCCACTTGCAGGGCATGAAGGAGCCGGGTCCTGCTCCCACAGGACAGAACTGAGTAACAAGGCCATTGTGCCATTATTAGTGGAAATCAGGGCAACACAGACAAATAAGCAATTTAAAAGTACCCCAAGGGTGTCATGGGAAAAAAAGGAAATGGGATATGGAATTAACCAAATGAAATGGCTGAGCATTGGTAACAGGACAATGGCTTTGCTACCAGTGAGCTGAGAGTTTGGGGTGGTGACCAGATAGCTCATCCACAATGTTCTCTGGTGTTTGGGTCCAGAGAGACTATCTTGTGAATAGGATGGTGACCCAGATGCCTTCAGATTTTGATCAAATGCCCTAAGTTGTCTCCCTGCAAAGTAACCTCATGGGCAGCATCAGACGAACTACAGATGAACTTGAGTGAAGATAGTCCTGGCTTTCTGGATGAACCTGGAAAGCCTGGTATAAAGCCATAGGTCTTTGCTGAGCTGGTGTCCAACTCTTCTCCCTGACAACATCCAGCTCTTCTCTCCCCTCTTTCCATATGTCCTGGGCAGCTCTGTCGTTCCCAGCCTGCCAATTTCCTTGAGGACCCTTCAGCAGAAGCTTTGTCCATGTCATCGTGTCCCCGTTCCCATACCTTTCCCTGAACAATGCCAGAAGCTGGACACAGAGACAACTGAGAGTTTCTCTGTCTGAGAGGGGTTTCTGAGTAACTGGGGTATGTGGGAATGTGGATTTGTGCCTCACAAATCACAAGACTCCCCTTCACATTGTTTTCTTATTATTATTACTAGTTTCCCCAAAGTAAATAGCAACTTCAGATAAATTTGAAGAGAAATGATGGTTTCCACCTCAAAATAACAATCTGCTCTAAAAATCTGAATCATGCCTTGTCTTTTTTGGATACTTATTGCTCCTGAGTCTAATCTTCTGTAGAGCAGGGCTGACTGCCTGGCTTGGTGATGTCAGCCTGATATCATCTGAACGGCAGTGCCAAGTTACATCATAAGTTCAGGAATTGCTGACAGCACACTGTATCCCACTCCAGATAGAGTATTTCCCCCTGGGACAAGGCTAATACCAAAACCTAGCACAAAAGTATCTGAGTCACTTGTAATAACTCCATCAGAGCTGGAGGTACAAAGAACAACTCCATCAGGCTGCTCTTGTCTTGCTGCCAAGCTGTGAAACAGATCCATGTGCTGTATAGGAGCAATTTAATGATTCCTTCTCCAGATAAAGTTGGTTTTCCTCGGAGAAAACAGACCTGCTCTGCACAACGGCAGGGGCAGAATGTGCTGTTGCAGATCCCTGGTGCTGGAGACTGTGGCTTGTTGCTCGCTGATGGATGGACAGGGGCACGTCCACACCTGAAGTTTCTCTCAAGTTGTGTTTGGGCTGTGTTTTGAGATACACAGCAACTGTTCTCTGCTGTTCGTGCCAAGACTTTGTTATTGCACAGTGAGTTGTTCTCCTGGCACTACATCCTTACAGAAAAGAAAGCTGCAAAATGAACATTCCTGTTTTCCAGCCCAGGATCCCGGTCGCTGCTCCTTGCCTGGCTTTGGTGGACTCGCCTTGTTCATGCTGGGCCACGGGAGCTCTCTGGCAAGCAGTAAAACTTCAGGCAAAACCATTTCTCCCATTTCTCCCATCGCCTTTCCTTGGCTTTTCCGGTCTCTTCAACACACAGGTTTTGGAGACCAGGGGCTGTTGGATGGCCATTGGTGGTGTCAGAAACAGGCTGATAGGTCTTCTAAGAGACGACTTGAAATCGGCCATGGTCGATAAGGAGTGCCAAAAGGCTTAAATGAGCAGGTCCTTCTAGAATCTTTTCCTGAAGTAGTTTGTTTGAGCTTTGGGCTTGGACAGTTGGCCACCAGCCTCTGGGTAGTGCTGGCCATTGGATGCCAGCATGGGCTTGAAGTGACAAGCAGTGGAGTTGGGAGTTCGGGGGTGCCAGAGTTGCTTTGGTTAGAAGGCTGGAGGTGCAGGGTACAGGTACAGTTGGAGGGACCACAGGGGTTATCTAGTCCAACCTTCCGTTCAAAGCCCAGGCATGAATGAGGTCTGAATGTACCTCAGTGATGTGATCTCCCCAGGTCCTGTTGGACTGAACTCCCTCCTTCCACCCCTCATTGTTTCTCCGTGTCTGAGGATATCTGCACATGGCACAAGACGAGCTTGGAGAGCTTCCTCTCAGCAGCAGGCAGCAAAGCCAGGGCATGAGCATGGAACCTTCCTGAAGCCATAAGGGCTGAAGGCTGAGTGGCACAGAAGCTTTTGAGCTTCCGTTGAGTTGGAGCTGCAAAGGAAAGGCTGGAGCTACGTACCCTCACTGGTTCCTTTAACCCTGAGGAGCACAGCAGCAAAAAGACATCAGTCCAGGTCAAGTGGATTGTAAGGCAGAGTGGAGAAGGATATGCCCATGGATCAAACCATCCTGGTCCAGTAGTCTTTTCCATTCCCTGGTGAACACCAAACACTTTGGTGATTTACAGTCATTTCATTGTTGCAAACCTAAGTCATTTTGACGTGAGATACCTCAAATTAACCTGCAACATCTCAAGTGCAGGCAGGTTTAGAAATAGAACCCCAGAGCCCTGCATACCAATCGCTTTGCCGTGCACATTAGACACCATCCTCCTTCTATATTTGTAGCTTACGTTTAAAACCCACATGGATCTGATTATAGATTTTGCAGCATGTTCTACTTGTGGCAGTGAGATGACTTTTCCTTTTAACTCTTGCTATCTCTCAACCCCAAGAGAAGCAAACTCGACCATAATGTGGAACAGAACAGAGAATTAGTTAAATCCCCCAACGTGAACAGTGTTGCAGTTGGAAACCCATCAACACCTCGTAATCAGCCATCCCACAGCACTGTACTTCAGAGGAAAAACAAGCTACGTCAGTTCGAAATAGACTCCCACCTTCTGCTCCAACTCCTACGAGAAGCAGCGGAGCATCGAGGCAGAGGAGCTGTGCTCAAGTGCACAGAAAGTTAGGGAGAGGAGGGGAGGAACTGAAAAGTCTAAAATTAATACCAAAAATGAGTCAAAAGCAGGTCCTGCACTTGGAACTATTTTCAGATGGAATGTGTCTTTTCTAACCCAACCATACTTGGAGTTAACGGTGCATTTTGTCAGGGGAAGAGCTCTAAAGCTCTACCCACCTGTAAGACTGTGAGCATCTGTAATGCTGGAAATGAGAGATGGATTTGGATTTACACAAGGACCCTTGCAGGTGAATTATGCTGCTCTCTGCTTGTTTGGACAGAGAAAAGCCACAGATCTGCCTGACATCCAGTGGCTGGCAGTGATCTGGCAGTGCCTCCAGCTTCATCCCTCCCTGGCTCTCTTGTAGCTGTGGTGGGCTGAATCAAGGGCAGGTTGCAGAAGAGCTGGTCGAGGCAGCGCATACCTAAAGACCTCTTATTTCTCTGGACATTGTGCCCCTACTAAAACACGCTCAGTCTTGTAACCTATGGCTTTTCCTGTGGGGAAACCTGCAGGAGACACAGGGGGAGGTGGTGAAGGTTTCATGAGAGAAGGGTCTGCATTGTGGTTCCCGTCCAGTTTCACTGTGTCTTAAAGAACATTTTAAAAGCTGATTGTCCCCTTCAGCCTCTTTCCATAACATTATGAGATCTTTTCTTGGAAGATTTAACCTTTGAAGTAAACTAAAATGACAAGAGCTAGAACTGTACTGATCCAACCCATTTATGTACTGATCCAACCTATCCTATGATTCTGTAAGTGTTCAAGGCCAGCTTGGATGGGGCTTGGAGCAAGCTGCTCTAGCGGAAAGTGTCCCTGCCCGTGGCAGGGGAGTTGGAACTGGAGGAGCTTTAAGGTCTCTTCTAACCCAAAGCAGTGTGATACTCCATGATTTCCTTTGTTCGTTTTGCCTGTTGTGAGATACGTTTGGCATTTCAGACACCATCCCTTCGGCACCCAGCAGAAGGACATACCTCCAGGTAGGAACCCCCCCTGTGGTGAGCATGGCCCTTTCCCTTCATTGCCTCTCTCTGTCCTGCAGCTCTGACGGCAGCAGCCGGGCGAGGGAAGCTGGATGTGTGCCGGCTCCTCCTGGAGCAGGGAGCTGCTGTGGCACAGCCCAACCGCCGCGGGGTCGTTCCGCTCTTCAGCGCTGTCAGACAGGGCCACTGGCAGGTGAGTGGGTTCCTTACACTATCGGGGTGGTCTAAAACGTTGGGTCAGGGCATCCCTTCCGTCTTGCTGAAGTATGGGTGGAGAAGACAAGCCCAAACTGGTCTGGAAACTGATGGGAGTGAGAAGAAGTGATATTGATGCTTCAAACACCCTGAGCACCTTGTGTTTAAGTCCTGTGTTACCTCACCATTTGGGAAGCAAATCGGGTGCTCTTGATTTAAGAGGTCATTTTTCCTGTCTTTATATCTCTGTTGCTTCTCCTATATCCCAGCAGTAATGCCAGAGGGCACCATGCCTTGGTGGGGTGAGTTTTCAAGGCAGGAGGTCTGCTCTTGCTTGGCTCCAGCTTGGTCTCCACATAAAACGTGTGTTCTCCCTTCCTGTGTTGCAGATTGTAGATCTCTTGCTCACGCACGGTGCCGATGTGAACATGGCAGATAAGCAGGGCCGGACACCACTGATGATGGCTGCATCTGAGGGACATCTGGGCACAGTGGAGTTTCTGCTTGCACAAGGTTAGAGCAAGTGCTTGGGGACTGGCCCCGGCAAGTCCCACCACACTGTGTTCTGCACAGCTGGAGTTTGTAATGTCGGGGTGGTGGATGGGGCAGTGGGAGATGTTCTCAGCACTGAATCCAACTTATTGGAGAGCAAGACTAGAACAGTCTGAGTGTTAATGTGGTGCATTTTGTTGTCTGTGTTTGGTGCTCACAGCCTCAAAGCCACGCAGTTGAGTTAGGAATAAGATAACATTGGTGCCTTGTGCGTTAAGAGTATGCCCTTGAACCATGATTGGAGCTTTCCCCAATCAGTAAATGATGTGATTAAACAGGGGAAGTTCAGGTTAGATGTAAGAAAGTTCTCTGCTGTGAGGGTGCTGAGGCGCTGGCACAGGGTGCCCAGAGAAGCTGTGGCTGCCCCATCCCTGGCAGTGTTCAAGGCCAGGTTGGACACAGGGGCTTGGAGCAAGCTGCTCCAGTGGAAGGGGTCCCTGCCCGTGGCAGGGGTTGGAGCTGGATGGTCCTAAGGTCCTTTCCAACCCAAGCCATTTTATGATTCTATGACTGAAATGTCAGCATCACCATGGAACAGGCAGGCAAGACTCAAGGACAGAGCCAGAGCTTGGGATGTGTTTTAACACGTCTGGTTTTAGTGCTAGTGTTGTTGCCCATGTCTTTGACACCAACATCAGCAGGAGGGGAAGACCCTGCCGCATTCAAAGATTCAATGTATTTACTGAAAATGAGATAGAATTCGTTTGAAGATAGTCTGCTCTCCAGCTTTGCACTCACACAGTCATTTTGTTGAGTACTTTCACTGTAATAACTCTCCTTCAGGAGGAGTTACTCAGCCAACAGGAACATGTTTCAGTTTTACTCATTTCTGCTGTGCATATTTGAGGTGAGTCAGAGCAGCGCACTGCCTCCAGCCTGTGAACATGATTGTTCAGTATTTCTGTAGCTCCATAGAGGTTCTTTTTTCCCCTTTTTTTTTGACAAATAACCAATGGGAGGTTTTTGTTTGTTCAGGTAATTTTCCATTAATTTTTGGCTACCTGGTAGTTGTAAGAGCCTTTCTTCACTGTAAAATTGCCAGGCTTCCAAGAACAAGCTTCTCATTCTCTCTCTGTCCTGAGCCCCAGGCCAGTAGGATCCTTGCTGTCCCCTGCATAGGGGTGTCTGTAACCTGCATAGGGATGTGACAAAGATCACTTTGAGGCAGGAGGTTCTTAGGAACTGATTCAGTTAAATCTTTTCTGATGCTCATAATGCTTCCCTAGTGCTTCAGACACTGAGAACCCAAAAAGTCAAAAGAAAACCATGTTTTTTACTTTAAAAGGTCCATTCTTCGAAATAGCTTCATAAAGTCCCCTAAATATGCTATAACACATAGTCCTGAAAAGTTAGCACAAGCCTGGGCAGAGTACAGTGATAGATGATGTATTTTAATTAAAAGGCCTTTGACGATCCCATTCAGTGTTTCATTAAAATCAAAGCGTGTGAATCATAAGCCATAAGCATTAATTAGTGTGTTGCAAAGCAAATCTAATTTGGCTGTACTTGATTAACACAGGCAGCGTTTGTAAACACTTTTTATTAACAGAGTTGCAATCATCAATCAATTTGAAATCCAGATTTTGAGAGGTACCTGCTGCTCTCACTGAACACCCAACAGTAGCGCACGTGTGAACAGCAACTTAAACTTCCCTGGCTGCAGCTCTGCTAAAGCTCATACTTACATGGGTCTGTGTTACACAGTCATGGAATGGTTTGGGTTGGAAGGGACCTCAAAGCTCCTCCAGCTCCAGCCTCTGCCACAGGCAGGGACACCTTCCACTAGAGCAGCTTGCTCCAAGCCCCTGTGTCCAACCTGGCCTTGAACACTGCCAGGGATGGGGCAGCCACAGCTTCTCTGGGCACCCTGTGCCAGCGCCTCAGCACCCTCCCAGGGAAGAGCTTCTGCCTAAGAGCTCAGCTCAGTCTCCCCTCTGGCAGGTTCAAGCCATTCCCCTTGGCCTGTCCCTACAGGCCCTTGTCCAAAGCCCCTCTCCAGCTTTCCTGCAGCCCCTTTAGGCACTGGAGCTGCTCTCAGGTCTCCCCTTAAGGAGCCTTCTCTTCCCGGCTGACCCAGCCCAGCTCTCTCAGCCTGGCTCCAGAGCAGAGCTGCTCCAGCCCTTTCACAAAGCTAAATAATTCCCGATGCTCGTTCCATTTGGAGAGAGCTTGATTCTGAATCTCATTTTCCTGCAAGAATCAGTCCCTTGATGTCTTTGCTGCCTTGGCGTATGTGGCACATGTGAATGCTGCTCCTTGCTGGCTGCCTTGTGCCTCTGACACTTTTGCATTTAGCCAGTTCATTTTCTTAGGGAAGCAGCTCAGCCCTTCTCAGAAGCAAGCTTTACCCAGACAAGTGTTTCCCACTGCAGCAGGGATCAGTCCCATGAGGTCACCTTAAGCCTCTTGCCCTCAAAACCATCCATTTGTTTCCTGTCTGACTGCCTTAATGCTAAATAAGTCAGAGATCCCTGAAGGAGCAGAAGATGCCTTCAGGGTCAAGCAGAGGTTCTGCTGGGAGCCACGGCAGCATCTGAAGCTCATGCCCAGGCTGCCTTGGAGGAGTGTTATGGCATTTCTCTTTGTCCGCTCACTTAGACCATCAGCTTGTGTTGCTGCAGTGGTACCCTCGAGTCTGTGCATGTCACAGTGTGTAATGGTGCATCTCTTCCACTGGACTGGGAGAAGAGTGGGAAGGTCGAGTGACGATGTGGCTTTGAAGCCTGCCCTCTTACTGCAAGAGCTGTCTTACCTGCTCCAGGAGAGTCGGAGGGAAAACACAGGAGAAGACTTTGACAGTTTGATGGCAGGAAAATAGCTGGCACAAATAAGGAATGAAATGAGACTTCATCCTGCTTTGCTGAGCAAAAGTTGGCCTTGGGGGGGTGAGGAGCTTTCACCGAGCTTCAGAAGGGTTCCTGGGTGCAGTGTGGGCAATGTGGGAGAAGGCTGGCAAGAATTCAGGTGTTTATGTTACAGAGTCATTGGATGGTTTGAATCCAGCTCCAGCCCCTGCCACGGGCAGGGTCCCCTTCCCCTAGAGCAGCTTGGTCCAAGCCCCTGTGTCCAACCTGGCCTTGAACACTGCCAGGGATGGGGCAGCCGCAGCTTCTCTGGGCACCCTGTGCCAGTGCCTCAGCACTTTCATAGTGTCATATTGTCATCCCGTAGCCTGTACCCTGGGGCCAGTGCCCCTCTGTGTCACACTGCATTGTCCCAGTGTCATTTCCCACCTCCACTGGGAGGCATACAGTGAGCAGGATGCTGCAATGGTGCTGGGAGCTCTGGGTGGAGGTTTCAGAGCATCTCCCAAGCAACTGCTCCTGTGTGGTGCTCCTCCACAACACAGAGCTGTGCAGGAGGGAGAACCTGTCAGCTTGCTGTCAGCAGGGCGATGGGTGCGAACCGGGGGCTATGGCAGCTCCCATGAACAGGAAGGTTCAGGCAATTCACATCACTCCCCCACTTGCTGAGCTTTCTGGAGCCAGGGAAGGTCTCATGCTGGGTGGCTTAGACTTTATCTACAGGATTAAAACACTGCAGCAGCAATTCAGCCCAGCCCCCTGGCAGGAGCATCCTGCAGTTATTCGCAGTCCCTCGGAGGAGCACAGCTTGTATGGATCTCTTCTGCCTGCTTGAGAGCCAGAGCCCTGCCTGTGCCATGGCAACGGGAGCTGTCTTCATGCCACGAAGAGGAGTGTTCACTTCATGCTGCTGTTCAGATCTCAGATGCGTTTCCATATGCTGTATGAAGCAACACTGACCCGTTGGTATGGCAGCGCCCAGTTCTTCATCCAAGAAAATGTCAAGTCCCACTCTCCTTGGCTTGCACTTGGCAGCAGTTTATCCCACAGCGTTGTATTTATATTGGGTAAAGTTCAGGGAGAAATGCTGCTGGAAATTGTGTCAATTTGGGTAAAGGGGAGGGGAGCGAAAAGGGGAAAATACGTGCTTTTTATAGGAGAACTGAGCTGGATTGACTTGGTTCCCCTTGGTACACCATGACCTGCTGAAACAGCAAAATGGCCTTCATCTCTGATGAAGCCTTCAGCACGAGCTGGAATGGGGTTTGATAAGAAATAACCAGTGAAAAAGAAAGATTGATGTCTCAGCTGAGGGATGTCAAACCCTCCCTGCTGTTCAGGAGATGTTTGCCAGCAAAGCCGACAGAGCTAGGTGTGAAAAAGTTTGCAGTTGGGTGTGAATAAACTCATTTTCCACAGCTTCTCTCAGTGCATTTGCAGTTGCTGTGGAGGGGAGATCTGCAATAAAGTGATTAATAATGATGTACAGAGCTCTCTAAGAATAAGCTGTCATCACTAAGTGGATGGTTTGTTGTATTGTGGTGCTCAACAACAGAGAGCTCAAGTGAACTAATGCTTGTTCTTCCATAGAATCCCAGGCTGGTTTGTGTTGGAAAGGACTTTAAAGCTCATCCAGCTCCAGCTGCTTGCCACGGGCAGGGACACCTTCCACTAGAGCAGCTTGCTCCAAGCCCCTGGCCTTGAACACTGCCAGGGATGGGGCAGCCACAGCTTCTCTTCTTCTTCCAGGTGCTTCTATTTCTCTGATGGACAAGGAGGGTTTGACAGCCCTCAGCTGGGCTTGTCTGAAAGGACATCTCTCCGTGGTGCGGTCCCTGGTGGAGAATGGTGCTGCCACCGACCATGCGGATAAGAACGGACGCACTCCCCTGGACCTGGCAGCGTTCTACGGCGATGCAGAGGTGGTAAGTAACATGTGCAGAGGGCAACAGGCAGTTGGTGTAGAAGCCCTAAAGTGGTACAGTTTAACTCAATGTAGCGATAAGTGTGTAGAGTCATGGCTCTCCATAGAATCATACTGGTTTGGGTTGGAAGGGACCTTAAAGCACATCCAGTTTCCAGCCCCTGCCATGTGCAGGGACACCTTCCACTAGAGCAGCTTGCTCCAAGCCCCATCCAACCGTGGCTGATATACCCTCGGGCCCTCCAGGGGTGGTTTCAGCCCAAGCAGTGAACTGACCATAGGACTTCTTGTTGCAGGTTCAGTTTCTGGTGGACCATGGGGCCATGATTGAGCACGTTGACTACAGCGGGATGCGCCCCCTCGACAGGGCAGTGGGGTGCCGCAACACCTCGGTCGTCGTCACTCTCCTGAAGAAAGGAGCAAAGATAGGTAGGGACAAGGGGACAATCTGGTGGCTCCCAGCAGTGGGGCTGGCTTCCTAGAACATACAGCACCGAGGCAGCTTCAGCCCAACTGCTGCTTTGGACTTGGAAAGCAGCCGGCAAGTGGTGGCTGCCTTGTTCTCTTGGTTAAAACGGGGGAGATATATATATATATATGTATTATGTCATATTACCTAGCAAAGTTAATCAATAAACCACTGTTTCTTTGGCAAGGTCCTTCCTCTGGTAATGCTTTTTCTATCTTTACTAGTCTGAGTCAGCAAACGTACTCTGTCCATGCATTGCTGTGAGCTGCTGCGGTCACTCGCTCTGTGTATGCTTCCAGATTCAGTGGTACCTGCACTGCGCCACACAGCCGCTCACGTTACGTTTTCCTGTGAAAGGGGATGTTGCTGGTGCATTGGCTTCTTTGCTGCCTGCCTCTCACAGCTGCTTTTTGTTTCCTTTCTTTTTTTTCACCTTCATACATTTTTTTTCTCCCCTCTCTCCTACAACTTTTTGTTTTCTCCTTTCTTTGAAGGTTGTCAGACGTTACCGAGTCGCCCACGAGGTATATCTCATTGCTGTCAGCATCAGCTTCGATCTGATAGCTTTGTCAGCCTTGCTTTCTCCTGTTTGATTTAGCCTGCATGCATCCCCAACACCTCTAATCTTTTAATTTACTTCACCTTCAAATAATTTTTTTAATGACTGTTGCAGAGAATAACTTGAACTCAAAAACTAACTTCCTTCCCCCAAAACGTACTGAATCTACTTATAGAATATCATTGACTTATTCTTCACCCACACTAATGAGTTATCGCCAGATTTTTGTCACCCTTTCCCTCCCAGTATTAGTCCTTGAGATAACAACTGGCTCTGCACAGGCAGAGCCAGCGTGGCCCCAGCCCAAGCGACAGCTCCGGCACCGGCAGCACTTAGACATGACCTTCCCTGTGTCGTATTTCCCACCTTAATGGGTTTTCTACTCTAGTTATTTCCCATCTTGTGAAGCTGGAAATCACAGCCCACTTAAACACCTATCGCCAGCCCAGCTGCAGGTTTCCTGCTGCACTTCCATGATTCTCATTTAGAAATGCTTTGATGTAACCACTCTGATCTTGCCTTTTGAATATGTTTTGTTTCCCCAACTCCGCCCCGGCTGGTTCCACAATCAGCACTGCCCTCTTGTGGAAGTGGCTCCCAGCATTCCTAGACCATTGTGGGAGTGGTGATTGGGATTAGCCTTAATGACTGCAAAGGAAAACCATTGTAATGTGGATGTGACGTTTAAGTGTGAGAGGAATTGTCAGCTCAATCATTTGGAGCACTCAGCCCTTTGACCATGCCAAGTTGTTCTCTCCAGCAGAAATTCCCACCCCAGGATATTTTTTCCACCCAGCTTCCTACCACCCTTGCATTGTATGAGTTTTTTACCCATCATGCATCCTGTACACTACAGGTCCAGCAACATGGGCGATGGCAACCTCCAAACCAGACATCATGATCATCCTCTTGAGCAAGCTGATGGAAGAGGGAGACATGTTTTATAAGGTGAGAGGAGTGTTTTGGGGAAGAACTGAACAAATCAGCCAATGGGAGGTTTTGACTGAGCCGTGCTGCTGCCTTAACCCATGGCAAGTAAAAGCTACTGCTCACAGCATCCCTCGTGTTGCAAACTGGTTTTGGTTAGCAGGGTTGGGGGGGGGGGGGCAGTGTTTGATTGCCCAAATCTGTAACAAAGCTGAAGCAAAGCCAGAGTCTCTGCATTCTGGACTTGAGCCAGTGCTTCATTTCCTCTTTGAAAGCACTAGAACCCAAGTGTTTGTTCAGTGGTGTTGCCATCGCATCGGGTCTGACAGTGTTGTCATTACCTAGCAAGCTCACTGCTGTGGAACCACCCAACACCATAGTGGATCCCAGAAGAAGTCGGGGATCCACTTTTTGCCTCGCACACTGATAGTCAGGATGCAGATGGCTTTGTTGTGTCCTTCAGCACATGGGAGGTGTTCCACCAGTGCACTGGAGTGGCGTCTTTTTTGCTGTTTATTTTAAGCTGATCTTTAAAACCTGGAGCTTTGCACACACACAAAATGTGCAAGTACAACAATGAGTCACTGTTAGGCTCTAAGGGCGAAGCAGAAAATATGCAAAGCTGGCATTGTAACTGGAGTTATCTGCCAGAGATACGTGATACAGCTGAGAAACCTGAGTCTACAGGGTTTTAAAGCTTACTATTTGTAGCTGCACAATGTATGTCTGGGTCACCATGAGTTGCACGTGTCCCAGATCCCATTTTGCCCTCTTTTTTTCACCCTGGCTGCCAAGGCTGCTCCTCCCCAGGGCATCCCAAAAATAGGTGCCCAAAATAGCAAAGATGAGTCACCCTTTGAAGGTGACTGTGGCGGCCCACATAAAAGGAACCCCTGTTGACAGGCTTAGGTGTAGACACCTGATTTTTAGACCTCTAAAGGCCAAGGAGATGAATTTCAACCCATTTCTTCACTTCAGAGCCACATCACTGCCATAACATTTTATCTTTGCTATTGCAGGGGCTTTGCTGAGCCCCAGGAACTCCACCCAGAGTCCCAGACTTCATGTTCTTTACCCTTCCTGGTGCTTATTAAGCTTTGGGTGCAGGGTGTTCTCCAGAAATGGATTACTGATCCCCCAGCTCAAAAGACAATCCAGAAACCAGATGGGGTTGTATCAAGTTAACACAATCTCTGCTGTGTTTCCCACTGTAGCATGACAAGTCTGTACCAAGTGGGAGAACTCAACTTGCACAAGGCATCTGCATTTCCACATCAGATGTTCCCTTGTTCTGGCTTTCCTCTCTAGAAAAGAGCTAAATAGTGAAGTCACGTTACTGTGACATTCATGGGCCCGGCGAGTGAGTTCTCTGCAGGGGAGTCAACTCAACCCAAGGATGTGTTTTGACACGTTCTCCTTCTATTAGAAAGGTAAAGTGAAAGAGGCTGCCCAGCGCTACCAGTATGCCCTGAAAAAATTCCCAAGGGAAGGGTTTGGAGAAGACCTGAAAACCTTCCGTGAGCTGAAGGTCTCGCTCCTGCTCAACCTGTCCCGATGTCGAAGGAAAATGAACGTAAGTCTCCTCCCTCTTTGTGGCCTGAAGCACAAGGTGCCAGTTTGCTTGGACAGGGGAGGTTCAGGTTGGACCTAAGGAAGAAGCTCATTACTGTGAGGGTGCTGAGGCACTGGCACAGTGTGCCCAGAGGAGTGGTAAATGTGCCATCCCTGGCAGGCTGGGCAGAGCCTTGGGCAACCTGGTCTAGTGTGAGGTGTCTCTGCCCGTGGCAGGGGGCTGGAACTGGATGATCTTAAAAGTCCTTTCCAACCCAAACCATTCTGTGATTCTGCCTGCACACAGAGACTTGACCGTCCTGCAGTCGCGCTTTGACCGCAGAGGTCTCCCCTCTGTGTTAACCTGGTTGTCCTCCACAGAGCACTGGCACGCTCTCATTCAAGAGAAGCGATGGTTTAATACCTATTTCTGGTGATTAAAAATTCATTGCTGTGTTTATAGCTTTTTGAATTTTTTATTGCTGCCGTTTGCTGATGCTGTGCACGGGGGGGGGAGGCATTTTCCAGCTTTCTAGGCCAGGAGGAGCCAGGAAATGTGCTTCTCTGAACGCTGATCTCAAATGAAGGAGCATATGCTTAGGGGGCTGGTGCTTCCCCAGGGCGCTGACTCATCCAGGAGCACCCACACACACTCCTTCTGCTCCCAGAGCTGCCACAGCACTGTCACTCTCCCCATTCCCATCCAGCAGCATCTAGCGACCAGCTCCTGCACTGTGGCTGTTCCTCCAGCAGACAAGTGCTACCTCCTCCTTGCTCTGCATGCAGGGGCTTTCACTTCTGTAGAAGCTTAAAGTCTCCAGAGACTCAAAAAGTGTTCTGCGAGCCAATAGAGATTACACTGGAGGGGAAGGGGTTTGTGACACCTTCATTTCTTTAAACTGTGAGGGAGAAAAGAGGAAAAGCAATGGATGTGAAATCTTAATGCTGGTGAACAAACAGCACAGTTCGTAGCACAAGTGTGAACCTTCTCTTTAAACAAGCCAGCTGTGCTGTAAGGACAGGATCTTTGGTTGGGAATCCCAGGTTTTGTGATGGAAAACTTCAGAGGGTTGTGATAGCTCCTGCAGTTTTTGCACCTATAGATGAGAACATAAAGGTACATACCTCTGACTGCATTCACAGTCTGTTAGGCAATATCTCTTCAGTAACTGCTACTGAAGGTGCAGACAGAAGTATGAGCTTCCCCAGGCAGAGTCCAGGTAGCAAGAGTTTAGTTCCTGAGTTTCTGAACAGATCAGGAGTGTTCTTTGGTCCTTTCTCCCAGAACTGCTCAGGTCATAGCCCAAGTCAGCAATCCAGAGCAGTGGTTGTGGAACGCACACCCCTCCTTCACAAGTGCTGAGCTTAGTGGTACCTGAAACATGTGGGGCAAGGCAAGGGGCACCCAGAGCTGTCTCCGTCCGTGCCAGCACTCTCTGCCTCCCCACCCCACTCTAGTCTCCAAAGTGGAGTGTAGGAGAGATATAAGGAACAGTGGAATAGGTGGCACTGGTAGGAGACCTTTGCCAGGCAAATCCTGTTTGTAGCAACTGAGATGCTGTAGTCCTGTCCTTCATGTGCAGTTTTATTCAGCCCCTTCGAAGCAGGTCAAGTGTGCTGCGGAGTGGGAAGCAGAGGGCATGGGAAAGGTTTCCTATTGCTTTCAGCTATGGAAAAAAGTCCTTCATGAGATTACATTCCAGCCTCTGCGAGACCAGATGTTTCCTCAAGACTGTAGGGTGTTGGAGAGGGATTGCATGCACTTGCTGGGGACACAATCAGTGAGAACAGAGCCAGTGGAGCACTGGCCTCTGTGGGTGCTGACAGCATCCGGCATTACGAAAGGGCTTTGGACATGCCATTGTAGTTCTTCGGGTGTAAATGATGTGGGATCCATGTGAAACCTTCCAGTTTTCCATCAGGTCTTCCACGGTACATGTGAAAGAAAATCAAAACATGTCTGTATGAAGTTTGTTTTCTTCCCAAACTGTATATATCTTTGTTTCTGTATCTGTTCAGTTACTTACCTGCGCACTTATTGTAATGACAGGATTTTGGAATGGCGGAGGAATTTGCTACTAAAGCACTGGAGTTGAAACCGAAATCTTACGAAGCTTACTATGCAAGAGCAAGGGCCAAACGCAGCAGCAGGTGAGGAGAGAGACAAGTGCAAGGGGCTGGTCTCGTTTGGCAGTTCCTGGAGGCAGCTGAATGCAGATGTTTGGAGAGGTGTCTCTTAGTTGAACGCTGAACATCTCAATGCGCTGGAAGCCTTTGCGCCAAGGTTGGGTGTTAAAACTACACTTTAGTTCAAGCACAACTTGGACTCGAAGCAAAATGTGACTCATGGCAACCCTGCGGCCTGTGTTACGTCATCGCAGTGATCTCTTCTGCCCTTAAAACCTGTGAATCTCTCTGTCCTACAGCACTTTCTGCAAGGCAGAAGTTGCTGCTCTGCACTGGCTGCACCAGCCAGGAGCTGTCAGCCACAGCAACCAGCTTCTAGAGAGCTGCAGCGCTGGGATCTCTGTGTCTCAGATGGAACCCAGAAGATTCCCTCCCTGAAGGCTAAAAGATGGGAGATTAGATTCATTTCAAACCCCGTCAATGCCATTCCTAAATGAACATTGATTTAGGGTCTCGAGTTCTGGGCTCAAGGGCACTGTCACTGCACACATCTTGGGTTTAAGCCTTGCACACTGCCCTAATGCCTTTCCTTTCATGGTTTCCTCTCCATTGTTTCCAAAACACTTGTAAGGAAGCATGAGAATCGGGTTCCTTTCCAGATGATATCAGCCTCCCCCACATATAAGCATCCTTTTCTCCCCAGGTCCCTCCACCACCTTGGCTTTTCTTCTGCATTTCCCAGTGGAGGTCTGCACAGTCCGGGGAGCAGGATGCTTTTCCTCCCTCCACCTGTGTTTCAAGAGCTTGTGCAGAACCGTAGGCTGGTGTTGGGAGGCACCGGGGAGTTTTTCCCCTGGGATCGTTCTCCCAGCTGACAGTCCTGTTCAAAGGGAGGGTTTTGCTAAAGCCAACCGTGTCCCTGTAAATGACAACCCCCTTTCCTGAACCGCCACCTCCTTTTTCCTCCTCACATGCTGGCCTTTCCCTTGCATAGGCTTCCCTGGGCAATCACAGGCTCCCATTCCTTGATTCCATTCCTTGACTCAGATGAAGTTAGCCAAATCCATTGCAACATTGGAGAGCCAGGCCTTGCTTAAGCACTGACCCTGGGAGCCCTTGGGCGCTGGAGCCAGCCCTGACTCTGTGTGGTCTTGGCATCAGGCAGAAGTTCCATTTTCACTGGCGTAAGCAGTTGCAGCTCCATCAAAGCTGCTTTTGTTTACAGGAGGGGTGAGCTTGGCTCTTGGTTCTCTTGGTGTTGGTTTCCCCTTTGCTGTTACAGGAGCAAAGCTCATGGTGGTGCTGTGGGAAGTAATGAGCCTGTAACACACTGTAATGCAGAAGGAGTTTTTGCACTCTGGGTTGTGGACTCAGGACTCTGTTCCCTTCCTCTTCTCCAGAGTGGCTGGCAGTGTTTTTTCAGTTTGGTTAAACTAAATCCAAGGGAGGCTATTAAGGCAGAGTTAGAGACACGCAGCACATGGTAGCAATCACAGACAGTAACGGGTGAGCCTCTTAACCCTCCGGAGCCTCCGAGAAGGGCTCCATTCAAATCCAGCGTAATTTCAGTTCTCCTTTCTGTCCCTTTGTCAAGCAGGCAGTTTTCAGCAGCCCTGGAGGACCTGAACGAGGCCATCAAGCTGTGTCCCAACAACCGGGAGATCCAGCGGCTGCTGATGCGGGTGGAGGAGGAGTGCAGGCAGGTCCAGCAGCAGCAGCAGCAGCCGCCGCCGCTCCCGGTGGAGCCTGAACCTGAAGCCCAGCACGAAGAGCTCTATTCTGTGCAGGACATCTTTGAGGAGGAGTACCTGGAGCAGGATGTAGAAAACGTTTCCATTGGCTTGCAGACAGAGTCCAGGCCAAACCAAGGGCTGCCCATCATCCAGAGCCCACCCCCATCCCCGGCTCACAGGGACTCAGCCTATATTTCTGGCTCACCCCTTGGCTCTCATCAGGTCTTTGATTTCAGGTCCAATAGCTCTGTGGGTTCACCAACCAGGCAAGGGTACCAGTCCACATCTCCTGCTCTGTCTCCTACGCACCAAAACTCACATTACAGACCCAGTCCTCCACACACGTCCCCTGCTCACCAGGGCTCCTCTTACCGCTTCAGCCCACCGCCTGTTGGAAGCCAAGGGAAGGAATATCAAAGCCCGCCACCTTCTCCTCTTCGCAGAGGTCCTCAGTATCGCGCCAGCCCCCCGGCAGAGAGCATGAGCGTTTACAGGTCACAGTCTGGTTCCCCTGTTCGTTATCAGCAAGAACCCAGCGGGGTCAACCAGCTCCCTGGTAGACCAAAGTCTCCGTTGTCCAAGATGACGCAAAGGTCCTTCCAGATGCCCCAGCTCCCTGTGGCCGTGCCGCAGCAGGGGCTGAGGCTGCAGCCAGCCAAGGCACAGATTGTGAGGAGCAACCAGCCCAGCTCAGCTGTCCATTCCAGTACTGTAATCCCAACCGGTGCTTACAGCCAGGTTGCCCACTCGATGGCCAGCAAGTACCAGTCAGCGTCAGGGGAAATGGGGGTTAGCCAGAGCAGGTTGGTCTACCAGGGCTCCATCGGGGGCATCGTTGGTGACAGCAGACCAGTGCAGCATGTTCAGGCGAGCCTGAGCGCAGGAGCCATCTGTCAGCACGGAGGACTGGCCAAAGAAGACCTTCCACAGAGACCATCCTCAGCATACAGGGGGGGGATGAGGTATAGCCAGACGCCGCAGATAGGGCGAAGCCAGTCCGCTTCCTACTATCCAGTGTGTCACTCAAAGCTTGACTTGGAACGTTCTCCCCTCCCCGCCAGCCAGCTGGGCTCTCCGGATGTGTCTCATCTCATAAGAAGACCCATCACCGTTAACCCCAGTGAAATCAAGCCTCACCCACCGACTCCAAGGCCCCTGCTTCACTCTCAGAGCGTTGGCCTCCGCTTCTCTCCCTCCAGCAATAGCATCTCCTCCACGTCCAACCTGACTCCCAACTTCCGCCCTTCCGCTTCGATTCAGCAAATGGAGATTCCTCTCAAGCCAGCTTACGACAGGTCTTGCGATGAACTCTCACCGGTCTCTCCCACTCAGGGGGGTTATCCCAGTGAGCCAGCCCGTTCCCGGACCACGCCGTTCATGGGAATCATAGATAAAACCGCTCGGACTCAGCAGTACCCCCATCTCCATCAGCAGAGCCGGACCTGGGCTGTGTCATCAGTGGACACTGTCATTAGTCCTACGTCTCCTGGCAATCTCCCCCAGCCAGAATCATTTAGCCCGCCTTCTTCAATCAGCAACATTGCCTTTTATAACAAAACCAACAATGCACAGAATGGCCATTTGCTAGAGGACGACTATTACAGCCCCCATGGGATGCTGGCCAATGGGTCCCGGGGAGACCTCCTGGAGAGAGTCACCCAAGCCTCCTCGTATCCCGACGTCAAGGTGGCAAGGACGCTGCCTGTGGCGCAGGCCTACCAGGACAACCTGTACAGGCAGCTCTCCAGGGACTCCAGGCAAGGGCAGACATCCCCAATCAAACCAAAGAGACCATTTGTGGAGTCTAATGTGTGAAAGACGCTTGTTGGAGTAAGACCCTCATGTTTTCAGCACACACACTTCCAAGCTTGATTTCCATGCATATTATTATTATTATTATTATATTATTCTGATGATTATGATTTCTCTTTGGTAGCTACATGACCAAGTTTCTCCGGTACTTTGTGTGGTGGTCAGACAGCCATGCACATGCTCCAGCCCTTTCGTTCCCCAGCTGACCGTGAAGCCAACAGCAGCCGAGCCAGTATGGTTTGCCCAATTCCAGCTAAGTTTCCAGCCGGGATACCTTAGTGCGTGGGGCGGGGTGGCCCCGACTCTCCCCTCCGCAGCGGGAGGTAACCAAGAGACAATCGCGTTCTATTTAAGTTGGTTTCTTTTGTCTTGATGAGCTCTTAACTCAATTGTGATGGGCATTCCTAGCGGGAGCAGAGCAGGGATCACAGGAGCCTTTCCCAAGGCTGCATCCTTGGGAATGTCAGCCAGGTCATTTGACTCTTTGCCCCTCAAAGAGCAAATTACCCACAGCGAGCAAGGGCACGATGTGTTTTGACACCGAGTAGCTATGCACAATCACCATCCTGCTTCAGCTGGTGTAGAGCATTTCAATCCGAATTGGATTCAGTGGATTCCTGCACTATTTAATCCAGCAGCAGCCAGAAGGGGTGGGATCACACTGTGCTCTGCTGCTTTGCAAACTACCTGCTGGGTGCCTCCGCACTGATTTGCTCTGGGGCATTTTAAAGGCACTGGTTGATTAGAGTTAGCCCTTTGTATGCCTTGGAATCAGCAAGGGACTTGGCCAGAAACCTCTTGCATGTGAGCTGGGATGGCAACACTTAACTCGGTGAGCGGACGACTGCACCTCACACACAGCACCATGTTTCCACTGGGACAGTTTGATGTTGGGGGTTTCATTTGGTGGGTTTTGCAAGGAAGAACAAAAAAAATCTCGCTTAGAAAATGGGATTTGAGCAGGAAAATTGCAAATTTTAATGCTTTATTATGTATTGCTTTGATGATGAGGCTGCATGATGTGGCATGATGGTTCCCGGGACAGGAAGGCTCCTTCTGCAAACCCACCTGGGCAGCATCTCCTGAGAGCCGGTGCCGTAGCAAGGGATGCACTCCAAGATCCATTCCCAAAACCTTGGAAAGCAGTTGCCATGTTCCATACGTGTACATGGTGGAGACCACATTCTCCTTTTTAAGGAGCTGGAGTTAAAAGAGAGCTATTTATAATTTATTTATGTGATCCGTTTGTTTAGGTTGGTTTTCCTATTTTTTTTTGAGTCGAATGCAAATCCCATTGGACGGTGGGAAAAGAGGGAGCGGTTCCAGGATCTGTTTTCCTGGGATTTTCCATAATCTGTCAATTTTTCTCTGACTTTTTTTTTTGAGGGGGGGAACTCTTTACAGACTCATTGGCTGCTGGTGGGTTTGAAATCTGCCTTTTCAGTCGCAGAGAGGGAAGGGTGGGATGAAGGAGGGGGAGAGCGATAACTGTAGCTTGTTTTAAAGCAAAATAGTGCCTGTTGCCTGATGCTGAACCTCCCTCGTATCAGCTCTTGAGAGTGATGTCAGTGCTGAGCAGGAGTTGGAGTGTTTCCAAAGGGCTATGCGAATAGATTGCAAGACTTCTCGAGCCAAACCATGGGGTCCAGCCTGGTGTAAATGAGCAGATCCCCAGCGCCACATCCGTGCAGCTCCATCCATTTACATCAGCTCAGGACTTGGTCTGAAACTCTTCAAGCTGGCTTCAGTGGGGTTATTTCGGTGTCTTTCTGTGTGTGGATCAGCACATCTCACTGCTGTCCTGTGCCTGGGATGCGCACGCCTTGGGGTGACAGAGGCTTGTGTCTCACAGACATGTTTCCTCTATAGGCTTTGGTGATTTTGGTGCTCTTTGGGGCTCTTTGGTGTTTGTCCAGTGGATTTGGATTGAGGTCACTGTTTTCTTTCTCGAGGTGCATCCCAGTGCTGACTGTTTGCTTCCTTGCAGGGCTCTGTAGAGCAGGGAGGTAAGACTGGGAGACCCCTTGGTAGGGCAGGCTCCCCGTGGCTGTGGGGACATGCAGCTCCTTGCACTGTTCCCCTCCTTGCAAAGGGGGTGTGATGGGCTTTTTCGTTCCTTTCCTCTCTGTTTTGAAGCAACATGTTCTGCTTCGTAAGGAATAACCCATTTCTTCTCTGCACACAGTGCACCTATAGCTAGGACATGCCTATCCATGGGTCTGGAGTAGTCGCTTTGCTCAATGCCTCCCATCCTCCAGCTTTCTGAGCCACTGAGTAGCTTCCTCCTTTAGTTGCTTCTTTGAAAGGGAAAGGTAACCAAATTCAGCCCCACCCCTGTTCACATCCAGGCGAGGTTCTCTCCACTGGGATGCAAACGGGATGATGCGGGAGCAGTGATGGAGCCTATGCCTTGCTTTCCCTATTCATTGCCTCGTGCTCCCGGTACTGTCCTGGAGCATCCCCTCACAGCACTTCTGTGTGTAGCTTTTGGGTTGGTGAAGATGTTCTAAGGGAAAAAGACAGCAGCTCACACTTGTAACACAACCACCAAGCTGCAGGAAGGCTTCAGTGCTGCAGTGTGCAGGTTTGTTCACAATAGCACGTGCTCACATTTCTCACAGGATTCTTGCACTAATGGTTTTCCATCTGTTCTCTCTGTAAATGGGTGCACTTTACTGTTTGTTACTATGAGAAATACTGGCTATTTAAGCGTGAGTAGTGTCTTCATTAGAGAAATAGCAAAGCAGCTCTTGTCTCTTTGTGTATTTTTCACAAAGGAGGAAAAAAAGCAAAGAAACAAAGCAATGAATCTGACCATTTATAGCACAAGAACTGACTCTTGTATATAAGCATCAACAGGTTGAGTAAGTTTTACCTACAAAATGATTTGCAGTGGCTTTAAAGCACTTCCCCAGCAATCCTGTTAGGGAGGGTTGAGGCAGGGTGGCTGCTGTGGTACCCAGGTGAATAAGGAGCACACCCCTCCCTGGAAAAGCCATTCCCTGTGTCCTCAAAGTCAGGCTTTGGATTTGGCAGGGAGGAAAAGCAGAGGTGGTGCTGTGCTGTGCTGTTGTGCGTGGTCCTGTTGTGCAGCGCGCTGTTGTCCACGTGGCTCAGTGGAGCTCACTGATGTCCCTTCCCCTTCTCATCTCGGCTGTCGGTCTGACAGGCAGGCTGTGCTGGGGAGCACGTGCAGAGTTTCAGACACAGTGCTGCCTTCTCCATCCATGCTGTGTATTGAATTACTCTTGGAGTAATCCAGATGTGGGGTGATGCTGCCAGCAGCGCCTCTGTCCCCTCCCTGGCCGCAGTGGCACCGCTGGCAAGCCCCTGTCTGAGATTGAGGAGGATTCTTGGGTGCACCAAGGAAACCAGGTTCTTGATGACATGGAAACCTCCAGGTTTGGTTCTTGGGGCGCGTTGGGTGGCGATGCTGAAGCCGACCCATGTACTTAGGTGCCCTTCCCACCGGGTGTCTCTCGTCCCCTGCCCACGGCTGGAATCTTCTCTCCCAGCTTGGGGTGTCCATGTCTGCCGTGTCCCTCGGTGGGGATTCACCGGCTCTTGGTCTCCCAGGCTGGGAGGATGCTGGGACCAGCATCGGAGGGCTCTGGAAGTGGTTGTCAGTGCTTTGTAAAGGGAGGGTTTTACCAAGACACATCCCTCAGGATCGGTCTCTGGAGGCGAAGGCACCGCACAGCCTGAGCCGCCTGCTCCGCATCACTGCTGGGAAGGGCACAGGCTGTGCCAGCCAAGATGCTGTCTGTCCATCCATCCATCCCTCCGTCCATCCGGTGCCCGCAGGTGGGTCCATCCGAGCACTGGACCTTTGGGGGTGTTTTCCTTTAACCTGGCTGTAAAGGAAAACTTCTTGGTGAGTGTGAGCACCGCGTGTGCGGGTGACGGACGCCTCAGCCACGCTTGGGTTAGGTCTGGAGCCAGGCTGGCTGCAGGGACCCTGTCCCCTCCTGCAAAGGCCGCTGCATATTCAGGGTGACCCAGAAGAAGCCGAGCTCAAACCCAAGTGCCAGCTCCGCCTTACCTAGAGAAACAAGCAAGCCAGTGTGCCTCCTCTTCCTCGCCAAGGGGGGTCCGCAGCGAGCTGAGGCAAGCTCTTCGCTGGTTGTACTTTGCTTTTAGCCTTGGGAATTCAGGATAGCTCCTCTGTTAATGGTGTTTAACCAAGGGCTTAGGGGAAGAGCTGTGGTACCTGCCGGGACCTCTGCGGATAAATGCCTTCACCCCGTGCTGGTTGCTCTGTGTGGGTGCACGTTGGACACAAAGCACAATGGTTGAGAGTGAATCTGTGATTTTATTTTTCAGATGTGTGTGAATAATTGCTGGGATTTTCCTTTCTTTGCGTTCAATCAAACTCTTTTTTCTAATACAAACCACTAAGGGCTCAATTCTTTAGCAAGATGCATTCGTGTCCAACTCCTGACTGTGCAGCTGGATCCCACCTCAACTCTTACAGCCCGACCCGAGGGAAAACACAGCGCGACCGTCACCGGGAGAGCCAGCAGATACCAAACCCACCCGCTGCATCCTTCCCTCCTGCTCATTTCCTACCTGTCACCGTACTGGGGAGGCAGCAGCCAGGTCCACTCCTCCGGGATCGCATCCCATGGCTGCTGTGCCAAAAGACTTTGTCCCTTCCGGGTGATGCTGGGTGGGTTGGAAGCCCCATGCCCAGGGACTGGGTCGCTGCCTCGCTGTGCTCTAACAGAGCCCGGGAGCAGCGCCGTGCGCCATGTCAAGCCTGTTCTGTTGCCACTCCGACAACCCAGAGACTCCCGTGGACTCTGCCAGCCCTGTCCAACCAAGCCTTTTCTTTCCCATAGTGTTGCATTCAACGTCCTGTCTCCCTCCTGTCTTCACGCCCGCGAGGAGCTGAGTTTGGAACAGACACGTGCAGTACACACACCTTGTGCTTTGTACACCCCCCTGGCTGCCATCCTCCGAGACACTTGCTGGGAAGATCTTTAAGACACTTCACCGTTTTCCTTTAGCTTTTCTATAACTCCGATGTAAAGGACTTCCTCTCTCTGTACAGTATATTATTCAATGCATGTTCTGTTCTCTCTACCGATATATTGAACACCACACAGTTGTGATATTGTGCAGTGGGAAGAGCAGCCCCTGCCGACAGCGGAGGCTTTTGCCTCTCATGTATAAGGAAAGAAGAAGACATATTTTTTCCTTTGCTGTATTTGCTTGAGCAGAGTTTTCTTGTCTGTACATGTGAGCTGTGAGATAGATGTGAAAAGTTCAAAAGAATGCATTTCCCCCCCTCCCCGGCCCCCAATGTATACAGGTTGTAATCTGTACAATGAAACTGTATGTATGAACAAATGTACTTATTTATAAATGGTTAACACTTGGAGACGGCGTCTGGCCTGGGCTTCTTCCCATGCGTGCCATAGAACCACTTGAAGGGGTTGGGTTGGCACCTTCAGCTCCATCCAGCCCAGCACCTCTCCAGCATCCCTGTAGCCCCCTTCAGACACTGGAAGCTGCTCTGGGGTCTCCACGCAGCTTCTCTTCTCCAGGCTGAACAGCCCCAGCTTTCTCAGCCTGTCCTCACACAGGAGGTGCTCCAGCCCCTGGGCATCCTCGTGGCCTCCTTCTGGACTTGCTCCAACAGCTCCGTGTCCCTCTTACGGTGAGGAAAAGACCTCGGAACATCAGGGCAGCACCAGAGTCCGGTCTGGCTGTCGCTGTGTGGGGATGGGGAGCGCCAGGAGCAGGAGGGGATGGAGGCAGTGCTGCTCTTGCCCTTACAAAGGGCTGTTAACAGGACAGGAGGGAATGGTGTCGTTGGGGCTGCTGAGCCAGGCTGCATGCGCAGTGGGAGACTGGGGGACAATGGGATGTGGCTAGGACCAGGGGCTGTGTTTGCTTTGCAGCACTGGGATATGGGAGATGAGCCCAAACCTCTTGGCAGTGGGTCCCCTCCACTTCCATGGGTACATCCAAGACCCCTGTGCTATATCTCTGGACATCCCCTGGAGATGTCCCCATGGACACCAAGCGCTGCGGTGCCCATTGCTCAGCACAAGACAACCCCATCCCAAACAGACCCTGCCTCCCCCAGGCCCTCGGACCATGAAAGGATGCGAGACGGGAGGAGGGCAGGGTTGGCTGCAGACATTTATTAGGCTGAGAGCGCCCACGGAGCAGACAACACATCGCACGAGAGGAGAAGGCTTCGGACACAAAGATGCTGAACCTGCACAGACCCCGGCATCATTCCAAGCCCCCACGTGTGGCCAAACCCAGCGCTCCCACTCCTGGTCCCCTGGGCAGAGCCAGCCCCTGCCTGTGCCCTATGGGGCTGGGGGCTCAGGGGCACCAGGGGCTGTGTAGGGCAGAGCTGAGGAAGATGAAGGCCAAGCGAGGCTGAATCCAGCATTAACACCAGCGAGCGCATCCTTCCCCAGTGGTCCTCGTACCCTGAGCCGGGCAGAGCCCCCCAGGGCACATGGGAAACATCCCGTAGGAGCCAGGGGCATCACTGGCTGCCACCACCGGGGCTCTCCCCCTCCGTCAGGGTCTTGAAGTCCATGGAGAGGGCCAATTCCTCGGCCAGGGGCGGGCGCTTCCACTCATCCCGTGTCAAGACGTAGCCCACCACGAGCCCGAAGGCCACCAGCAGCACCCCCAGGGTGTTGGCCAGGACGCCCTCGGGCACAAAGCGGCTGTAGGAGTCCCTGTGGGGACACATTGGGATGCTCAAGCTGATGGGGATGGGAATGGGTCTGGCCCTGCCCTGCCTGGGGTCCCTCAGCATCCTCTGGGCACACAGCATGGGGAAGGTGCCTTTCCCCCGAATCAGAGCAAGAGGGAGGTGCCCAGGTGCTGTTTGCTTTGGTGACAGCACAGGAAGGTGGTGGCAATGTCCTATACCAGGGCTATAGGCAGCCCTGCCAGATGTGCTCCCCCAGCCAGAGGGAGGTGGCTCCTGGGGTGCCCCATAGCTGTGTCCCCATGGAGACCCCAGTGTGCATCTGGAGCACATCTGGAGCTACCAGGGCAGAGGCCTCGGGGACAAGAGCAGCCTGAAGGGTTCTGACATCACGTGGCTGCAGAGAGGCAACGGCACATCCCCATCCACAAACTACTGCAGGATCCAGCCCTTGTTAAACATCCTCTGGGCAGTGACTCAGCAGCAGCAGAATTAAAGGCCTTGGAGGGGGGAGATGTAACAGCCCCAGCACGAGCAGGGGCCAGGCTCTGCCCATTGGGCTGCAGGGAGCCTGGGGTCTAGAACCCCCCAGCCCTATCACCCACCTGATGTTGAAGAGGAGCATCTCGGTGATGCCCAGCAAGCAGGAGGCGATGGAGAGGGCAAAGAGGGCGGTGCCGATGAAGATGTGCTGAGGCTTGTAGCGGCCCCGCAGCGAGAAGGAGGCACCGGGGAGCAGGAAGAAACCACAGCCCAGGAGCCACTGTGGGGCAGGGGGATGTTACAGAGAGCTCTGTGGGGCCCCGGGAGGGTGCTCAGGGTGTCCCCAGCGCTCACCTGCAGGAGGTAGAGCACGAAGGTGGCCATCCCGCACCAGCTGTGCAGGCTGTACATGTTGGGGATGCCCTTGGCCCGGTGGGACTCGAACACTGCGATGATGCCTGCGGACAGGAGCCCGTTACCCGTTACCGGATCCATCCCTATGCACCCACCCAGACCACAGCACCCACCGACGAGGGCGATGAGCAGCGCCAAGCCATGGAGCAGTGCGTGCAGCGCCTTGGTGGATCGCTTGGGTTCGTTCCTGAACACGCGGTACACGAGGAGAGCTGCCGGAGACAGCCCATGAGCACCCATGGGCGTCCCCCACGTCCCCGCGGCCCCGCGGGGGGGGGGGGTCCCGGAGCATCTTCCCCGGTCTCCGTTTGTGACCGCTTTGTCCCTTCCCCCCCCCGCGGGGCCGCTCACCGTCACCCTGGAGGAAGACCATGGCCAGCACCATGCAGAGCGGGTGCACGTTCAGCTGCAGGGCGCTCTGCCAGCCCAGGCCGCCGCGGTACCGCCCGAGCCAGGCCCCCGTGGTGAGCAGCAGCGCCAGCCCCAGCGCCTGCGACACCGCCACGAAGGCGCAGAGCCCCGCGGGGCGGGCGGGCGCCGCGGCCCCGTCCATGCTGCGGGGCAGAGCGGGGCGAGCGCTGGCGGCCGGGTCCCGCTGCGGGCAGCGCCCGGCTCCGCCCTCACCTGCCGGGGCCCGGCGCTTCCTGGTGCCGCCGGGGCCGCTGCGTCACCCGCGCCCGGAGGTGGCTCCGGTTCCGGCCCCTGCTGCCTGCTCCTGCCCAGAGCCTGCACCAGCCCCAGACCCCGAGTCCTGCCCTCCAGCCGCAGCCCTGTCCCTCCAGCCCCATCCATTCATCGCCCTCCTCCATCCTTCTCCCTCCACCCCCATCCCTGTCCCTCCATCCCCATCCCTCCATCCCCATCCCTCCATCCCCGGCTCCATCCCTCCATCCCCATCCCTCCATCCCCGGCTCCATCCCTCCATCCCCATCCCTCCATCCCCACACCTTCATCCCTGGCTCCATCCCTCCATCCCCATCCCTCCATCCCCATCCCTCCATCCCCACACCTTCATCCCTGGCTCCATCCCTCCATCCCCATCCCTCCATCCCCGGCTCCATCCCTCCATCCCCATCCCTCCATCCCCACCCCTTCATCCCTGGCTCCATCCCTCCATCCCCACCCCTTCATCCCCGGCTCCATCCCTCCATCCCCATCCCTCCATCCCCATCTATCCCCATCTGTCCATCCCCATCCCTCCATCCCCAGCTCCATCCCTCCATAGCCATCTCTGTCCCTCAATCCTCATCCCTCCATCCCCATCCCTTTCACTCCAGGCCCATCCCATGGCCCACCCTTGCCCATTCCCCAGCCCCTCCATCCCCAGAGCCCCACAACAACCCCCACAAACCCTGCTAGGGTAAGGCAGCACAGGGATGAGCACCCTTGTGATCCCTCCCCTCTGTGACCAAACCGATGTCCCTTGGGGTTATGGGGCTGCGCAAACCCTCATGGAACAGACACATGGTGGTACCCAGCCCCACAGAGCCCTGCCCCATAGCCCCCACCACTCACCTGCACCCACGTCCTGCTTCGTTCTGGGTTATCCCTGGGGATCAGCGCTGCCACTTCTCCTGCTTCTGCTTCAACCAGGGCCAATGTCCCACCTCTGGCACAGCCCCACTGCGGCTGCCCCTGGGGAGGAGCACCCAGCAGCCAGACCCACGGTGCTGCCAGGACTGGGGGGAGCTGGGGAAGGGAGGGGGGATGCATTAGGCCACGCACACACTTTGTTCTCAGCCACCTTTATTGGATCAGCCGGGTAAGTGAGTTAAGGGAATTGGTTTATCCCATTAGGTTGCACTGCAAAGGCGGCCTCATCGCCCGGGGCCATGGCGTGGACACAGGGTCCAGGCTGGGGTGATGGGCAGAGAGGGGCTCCGCGTCCCTCCTGCACCACAACAGCCCCCAAGGACCCTCAGCACTGCCATGGGGCTGCTGGTTCCAATGGGAATCCCACTGGGTACCCATCCTGCCAGATGCAAACATCTGGCCCTGAGCACAGGGCACATCCCACTCCCATGCTGAGGATGAGGGACTGGGACTAACCCCCCCCCCCCCCAAGCCACATCAGCCGGCAGCAGGACACGGGGAGGTGCCCTTGGGATACCCCTTACCCCTAAATCCATCCCACCAAGTGGTGGGAGAGCCGGAGGCAGCTGGGCCCTTCGGAAAAGCCATCCCATGGTGGGTCCCTGCCTGTCCCCTCCCACCCCACATCTCTGCCCCCTCCATCCCCAGTCTCTGCTCTCTCTGCTTTCAATGGGGGCTCATGCAGGGGACAGGGCTCATCCAGCTCAGGGCTGGGGGGGCTCTGAGCAATGCATTGGAGGGGGATTTGAGGCAGCCCCCCCCCCCCCCCCCCGAGCCCCCGTTCGTGCCCCCCAACCTACCTGTGGGTGCCAGGAGGCGCTGCCTGAGCCGGGCCCAGCGTGACAGTGTCTGAGGCAGGGATGCGGCCACCGCGTTGCTGTGGCAACGGAGGATGGAGTAGGGGGGTAGCACCCCGGGCATGCTGCGGGGGGGGGCAGGGCGTTAATTGGACCACGTTAATCACCTGCACCCATCAGCAGCACTGGGGGGGGGAAGGGGGGGAGGGTTGTGCTGCAGGACCCTTGGCTGGTGGGTTGGGGATGGGTGACACGGCCCTGGGGAACCCCCGCTTCCATTTACAGCTCCGGGAGCCCCTCCAGGAGCACCAAATACACCCTGTGCCCCCCCCCCCCCCCCACACACACACACACACCATGGGATGTTCCTGAGGGGAAAAGGCTTGGGAGATGGGGAGGGAGGTGATGGGAAGATGATGGAGATGATGCGGGCAGATGAGGTGGATGACGGGGAAAATGATGGGGAAGATGGAGATGATGATGGGGGAGATGCGGGGGTCCCCTTTTTGGCTCTGGCCCTCTCGGGAGGTCCCCTCCTCTTCCTCTCCCCGTCCTGTCCCTGTGTCTGTGTCTCTGTCTGTCCCCCAGGCCGCCACCAGGTGTCAGCAGGAGCCCGCGGTGCCGGCAGGACCTGGAGCGTCCTGGGCTCCGGCTCGTCCCGGGGATGCAGAGACCAGGCAGGGGTCGGAAGCATCCCTGGGTCTGGATCCTCACAGGGACCCGAGGCAGAGCCCCCACGGGAGCTGGAGCATCACCACCCTCACGGGGAAGAGCTTTTGCCTTACCTCCAACCTGAACTTGCCCTGTTTCAGTTTGAACCCATCACCCCTTGTCCTATCACTCCAGTCCCTATGAAGAGTCCCTCTCCAGCATCCTTGTAGCCCCCTTCAGGCACTGGAAGCTGCTCAGAGGTCTCCACGCAGCTTCTCTTCTCCACGCTGAGCAGCCCCAATGCTCTCAGCCTGGCTCCATACGGGATCTGCTCCAGCCCCTGAGCATCCCCCTCCCTGACTGCACCTGGGTTCTGGCCCTGCTGAACCACACCTCGGTGGTGGTGGGGATTGTGCCCCACGACACACGTTCCCACTGGGGAGGAGAAGATGAGGGGCTGTTGTTGGGGGGCTCAGTGGGGGCTTTGGGTGCCTCTGCTCAGGAGGGGCTGAGTAAAGTGGAAGCCAAATGGAAGCGCTGGGGGGCAGAATCGAGGTCCCAGGGTTGGAACTGGAGATGAGCTTTAAGGTCCCTTCAACCCAGCCCCTGGTTCCATGGGTCCATGGTTCCATGCCGAGGACCTGTCGCACCAAGAGCGAAGTCCAGGCCCTGCTGCAGCCCAGGGCAGAGTTCCATCGCCACCGCCTTGATCCTGGGGAGCAGCCCCTGTGCAGCGGGACCCAGGGAATGGCGCTGCCCCGGGAGCTGCTGTCACCTCCCATCTGCAGCCCGGCTTTATCAGCGGGGGTTGTTTACCGCAGGGGATCCGCCGAGCCATAAAAGCCACCATAAACTGCAGACCTTGAGCTGTGCTGCTGTGTCCCGGCCGGAAAGGGCTGGAGGGTGCCTGGTCCAGCTGAGACCCTTGGAAAAGCCCCCGAGCGGGTTCATCCTTTAGGATATGCCAGGACAACGAGCTTTGCCCTCAGCTGAGACCAGCAATGCTTTATCCTTGTTCCCAACCGCATCCAGCTGAACTGTCCATGAGTCTATGGCTTCCAGCAGCCAAAAGGACATCACAGCCCTCAACCCAATGTGATTAAAGGGCCATGGTTGCTTCTCCCATCCACACAGCAGGGACAAAGCCACTGCCCCATGCACAGGGATTCAGCAGCAGCAGCTCCCCAGCCAAATGAGCCCCTGCAATGCAGAGCACTCTCCTCTTGCAACAGGAGCCGTTTGTAACCAGCTCTTTAATTAAAGCCATTGCCAGGGGCATAATGGCTTTATTAAATCTGCCTGAGCTGGCAAGAGTAAAATCCAACCTGTGCTGCAGGACGGTGATGTCGGGCAGGAGAGCCAGCGCTGCCTGTCCTGGTGCGGGGCTCGGGGATGCTCAGGGCTGCCACAGCTCCATCGACTCAACCCTGTTGGAGGACAGGATCATCAGTCAGGGGCACCCCTAACCCACGGCACTGAGGCCTTGTCCATATGGTCTGTGAACACTTGCAGGGACGGTGACTCCAGCCCTGCCCCGTTCCAATGCCTGACTGCAGTGGATGCTGGGCCAGCTCCCTGGCCAAACCTGGCATCAACAGGAGCACCATGAAGTGATAACTGATGGTGAAACCAGCAGTTCCCATCCTCCCTCTGCCAGACACCACCAAATGACCATTCTGCTGATGCACCCTCTTTGACTTTGCTGGGTTTGCTTTGGTTTTACCTTCCTAAATCAAGTTTTTATTGCTAAGAAAGGCTTGCTTGCAAGATGCTTCCCCTGAGGATGCTGGGTCCAGAGCCCAGCTCCTCAGCAGAGCCAAGCTGCTGCCTGAAACAGCCACAATGTTCCCCCACAGAACCCCAAAACTGGGGCACAAAGTTAGCATCTTATCACTAAATATAAGGATAAAGAATCAAAGGCCCGTTGATTCCAAGGGGAATCATTAAGCCCTGATTCACATCTGGGGGTCGATCCCCAATTCCACGGCATCCTGTGAAGGCTGGAAAATGGGGGATTCCCAGCTGGAACAAAGCTGCCTTGGGAACCTGCCTCCTTCCCAGGCTGGGGGTAGGAGCAGCCTGGCTGGAAAAGACCCTGGTTCTCCTCCTGGCAGCAATTCAGCTGCCTTGTCCTCGTGCTGGCCGGGAGCACAGCTCCACTGAGCCGGGCGGCGATAGCATCAGCGCGGCCGGTGCAGCCACTTCATCTCTTTCAGAAGATGCTGAAGGCACGTTTAGGGCCAGGCTTTAACAGCAGCTGAGATAAGCTCTGCGGGCTCACGGAGGATGATGGACGCTCCCTGAGCAGTCACGCTCACGTGCCACAGAGCTGGGGTTGGTTTTGGTTATTAAAGCAAGCGGGGGAAAGGGAGGAACAATGGACTTTTATTGGGTGATGGTGCAGAGGGAGCACGTTGGCCTCTTTCCTTACCCTGGCTGGTGAGGAAGGGAGGTGGAGGGATGAATGACAGGGAATGGAGGCTGAGAGGTGAAGGAGGAAGGATAAAGGAGAAGGGTTGAAGGATGAAGGATGAAGGGTAAAGGATGAAGGAGGGGGGACAATTTCTGGCCAGGCTTTTAATGCTTGACCAGCCACATGCCTGGCACTGGGCACGTCTGCTCTGTGACCGAGGACTCCCCAGGAGCTGACTGTTGGCATCTTGCACAGATTTAGTATCCTCCCAGGACATGGGCATCATTTAAGGACCCTGAGCTGATGGCTTGCTGCTTTATAAGGGCCTTTCAATGTCAGTGCACATCCTTGGGCTGGTCCCAGAGCAGGGGATGGAGCCCGAGGAGATCCTAGAGTGGAAACCATCCCCTTCCCATCCACCTCTAGCCTCACTCAAGAGCATGGCCCCACTTGGGCTGCCCCATGCAGCCAAGCCCGGCTCACGTGTGTCCCTGACACCTGCACCAGGACCAGCTTCCTGATGCCATAAACCCTTGTCCTAGGGCAAGTGAGTGCTGGGGTGAGGATCATGCTGATAAGGAACATTTCTGCTGCCTTCAGCCTCCCTCAAGAGCTGAGTGTGCACTTCTGGTGATAAAGCACAATCACTGCTCCAGGACTGGGGGTGAGCTTCCCATTGCCCATTGCACCCCATCCCTCTGCAGAGAGGACTCCCCAGGCTTTAAATACATCTTTTATCCAGGGAAAAACTGGATAAACCCCAGGTTTTGGGGTGTTCCTTTTTTTCCAAAGGATCAGAATAAAAGCTGTTCATTTAAATGAAATATTTGGATTGCTGAGGTGTTTTTTTCCCCTCCCCTCTCCCTCAGGGCAGCATCACTGCATCTGGGAAAGGAGCTTAGAGGATGGTACACTGTGATAATTGATTGAATTCATCAGCAAATAAAACAGGAGCCTTTAAACTCAGAGTCCGGAGGGAGAGGAAGAAGGATGCTCTGTGCAGTGATTTGTACCAATGGGTGCCAGAGCTGTCATGCCCAGGAAACCACAGCCACTGGGGAAAGTAACACATAAGGCTGCACAGCCAATATAAAAAGCTCTTTTTGAGGTCAAAGTCAGGAGGGAATCCTTCCCCTTCCCTCCAGAAGCAACCCGGTTGCTCAGAGGGATGGATCACACGGACAAAGGTCTTGAAGCACCCTTCAACACTTTGAGAAATGGGATGGGGAACCCAAAAGTGTGATTAATGATAAAAGAAGGGGGAAATGGGCTTGAGCTATAGGGCTGGGATATACCCAGAAAAATCACCAGCTCTTCCCAGCCAGCACCAGGGCCACAAATGCCCCCAAAGGAGAGCATCCTTTGCACAACCACCCTCTCCCACTGCTCTCAGAGCTGATGCTTTACAGCTCCCCTAAGAAAGACTTGCTGTCAGACTCCTTAATTCCTCATTTCTGGGTGACTCTGGGGTGTGGAACTGCACCAGGGGCATCTCTGCCTCTGCCGGGGGGGGGTTGGAGGCCTGGCAAGCCAAGGAGCTTATCCCAAATGCTGGGAGCAAGTCCTGCTCCTTCATAAGTGCAGACACGCTGCAGTGAGAGTCCGGCCATGGCACACGTGTGGCAGCACACGCAGTCCATGGAGGGGGAGGACAACGTCTCCATGCAGCTGGTGATGGCAATGCAAGATGATGGGCAGCATCCTCCTGGCCCAGGGCAGCCGGCGGGGACACCACGTCTCACCCAGCATCCCCGCGCCTGCATCCCTGCCAGCAGTTCAGCATCCGTCTCCGTGGCAACACGTTTCTCACATCCTTGGATACCTCCCGTCCCCCTGTGGTACTGCACTCTGGGAGCACATGGGTGTCCATTACCCACCCCAGCACCCCTGAGAGGGGTGGGGAGAGTGGGGACCGGTCCATCTGCTCTGCAGATTGCCTCATGGATGTCTGAGCCCATCC